CACAAAACCCATTCTGATAATTATTTAGTTAGGTTATATAGTGTATAAAATGGATACCTGATATTCAATATCTGCCACACAAACGCATATTTAGTAAGCATGGGATATTTTAGATCACTAAAACACACGAAACCGAAACACTAAGGCACTTTAAAGAAATATTTTGAATATGGAGATAGCGATTTAAAAGCAAGGAAGGCAAAGTAATCACCTACATCGAAGGACAACGGAACAGGTGGGTAGAACACTTCAAAGAACTCTTGAATCGACCAACTCCACTGAAGCCACCCAACATCGAAGCAGCACCCACGGACTTCCCAATCGATGTTGGCCTACCAACAATTGAAGAAATCAGCATGGTCATCAGACAAATCAAAAGTGGCAAAGCAGCAGGATCAGAAAACATTCCAGCAGAGCCACTGAAAGCAGACGAAGCGGTAACTGCAATGATACTCCACATTCTCTTCAATAAGATTTGGGATGAGGAACAAGTACCAAAAGACTGGAAAGAAGGACTTCTGATCAAAAGACCGAAGAAAGGTGATCTCAGCAACTGTGATAACTACAGGGGCATCACTCTTCTCTCAATACCGGGAAAAGTCTTCAACAGAGTATTGTTAAACAGAATGAAGGACTGCGTAGACGCCCAAATTCGTGACCAACAGGCAGGATTCCGTAAGGATAGATCGTGTACAGACCAAATCGCATCACTATGGATCATTGTGGAACAATCAAGTGAATGGAATTCATCACTCCACACCAACTTCATTAGCTATGAGAAAGCATTTAATAGGATGGATAGGACAACACTATGGAGGCTTATTCGACACTACGGCGTGCCTGGGAAGATAGTCAATATCATAAGGAATTCCTACGATGGGTTAGACTGTTAAATCGCGCATGGAGGACAGCTGACGGACTCGTTCGAAGTGAAGACCGGTGTCAGGCAAGTTTGTTTACTCTCACCCTTTCTCTTTCTTCTAGTGATCGACTGGATCACAAAGGCGTCAACATCTGAAGGGAAACACGGGATACAGTGAACATCTAGGATGCAGTTGGACGATCTAGACTTCGCAGATGATCTGGCCCTTCTATTCCAATCGCAACAACAAATGCAGGAGAAGACGACCAGTGTAGCAGCAGCCTCAGCAGCAGTAGGTCTCAATATACCCAAAGGGAAAAGCAAGGTTCTCCGATACAACACAGCATGCACCAATCCAATCAAAATTGACGGAGACGATTTGGAAGATGTAAAAACCTTTACATAACTGGGCAGCATCATTGATGAACACGGTGGATCTGATGCAAATGTGAAGGCGCAGATCGGCGAAGCAACAGCAGCATATTTACAACTGAAGAACATCTGGAACTCAAAACAACTGTCAACCAACACAAAGGTCAGGATTTTCAATACAAATGTTAAGACAGTTCTACTGTATGGGGCGGAAACCTGGAGAACTACGAAAGCCATCATCCAGAAAAGACAGGTGTTTATTAACAGTTGTCTATGCGAAATACTTCGGATCCGTTGGCCGGACACTATTAGCAACAACCAACTGTGGGAAAGAACAAAGCAGATCCGAGTGGAGAAAGGAGCGCTGGAAGTGGATAAGACACACATTGAGGAAAGCACCCAACTGCGTCACAAGACAATCCTTCACATGGAATCCTCAAGGCCAGAGGAAAAGAGGAAGACCAAAGAACACATTACGCCGTGAAATGGAAATAGACATGAGAAAAATGAACGAGAATTGGATGGAATTAGAAAAGAAGGTCCAGGGCAGAGTGGGTTGGAGAATGCTGGTCGGTGGCCTATGCTCCATTAGGAGTAACAGGCGTAAGTAAGTAAGTAAGATAGCGATGTTGTTGGTAAATGTCTAAAAACACTACACGACGCAAGTATATCTTCAAATATGTGATTTCCCCACTTAGTGATTCGCCTTTATGATGCGTAAGGATGGTGTACACGGGATAATTCCGAATATATTTTTGTTCGATCTAAGATGTATTGTGTTAACTAATAAACTTGTCGCACACAACTGACTGGTCTCAATCACTGATTGTGCCAGTCTATAAAAAAGGACAAAAGTCCTCTTGTGACAATCAGAGGAACCAGTTTGACTATTATAGTGCCTAAAATATTAGCTTCAGTAATACTTCGACGCCTAACCAAAGCTGGTGAAGAACACGTTAGAGAAAACCAGACTGGTTTTCGACCTGGTCGAGGTTGTGTAGACCAGATATTCACACCACGTCAGGTCCTAGAACATAGACACACATTCAGACGCCCTACAATCGTAGTGTTTCTCGACCTTAAAGCAGCATTCGACTCTGTTGATCGTGAGGTTCTATGGCAGTGTTTGTCATTGAAAGGAGTACCAAAGAAGTACATTAACCTTATAAAGGCTCTCTACTCGAACACAACTGGTCGAGTGAGATTCACTTGTTGACTTGGAATATACCGATGACATAGTTCTATTTGGTGAAGACGCTGACAAAATGCAGAGTCTTCTGATCACTCTAAGCAACAATGCAAGGATGTTTGGGATGCGATTTCCCCTCCCCTCGAAATGCAAAATGTTGCTTCAGGATTGGGTTGCGTCAACACCCAAACTAATAATAGGGAGTGAAGTAGTTGAGCGTGTTGACCGCTTCACTTATCTTGGGAGTCTCATCAGCCCTTGTGGTCTGGTGTGTGACGAAATCTCAGCACGGATACAGAAGGCTCGACTAGCTTTTGCCAACTTGCGTCATTTATGGCGTAGGCGAGATATCCGTCTATCAACCAAAGAACGTGTGTACTGCGCAGCAGTTCGTTCCGTCCTACTTTATGGCAGTGAAACATGGCTGGTAAGAGTAGAGGATATTCGTAGGTTACTAGTATTTGATCATAGGTGTCTTCGAAACATTGCTCGTATATCCTGGGACTATCGAGTAAGTAATTTAGTTGTTAGGAAATGGGTACTAGGTAAGGATGGCAAATCAATTGATGAAGTAGTGAAACTTCATCAGTTGAGATGGCTGAGACATGTGTTACGTATTCCAACCACCGACTGCCCCGACGTGTGATGTTTTTTTGGTGTAGGAGTAGGTTGGAAGAAAGCTAGGGGCGGCCAGACCAAAACATGGCACAAGTCCATGAAGTCACTGACAAGTGGACTGCGTCATGTTAGTAGGTGTAGACTACCTGGTTGGGATTTGCGAGACGATAGCAACCGATGGTTAGAGACTTTAAATGACATGGTTCAAAATCGTTTGCAATGGCGCAGGTGCATCCAATCTTTGTGTCCTCCCAAATTCTAATCTTCTGAATTCTTCATGTCCCTTTCATTTCTTTCCAAATATACTTCACTGGATTATACTCCTTGAATAACATTTTCAAACCCTAATCTTTCCGATTACTGCTTATTACTCTTACTACCTCTATCACTACGGGATTTGGATCGACAATCGTATCTCTGTGCCAATGTGGTATGGCAAGTCGAACTGATGTACGTACGTACGAAGTTCTATATTCCCTATACCGTCCGTCTTAAAATACTGAATGATACCTATAGTTGGAATACCTCTTGAGATACATTTCAAAGTTTCAGGTGTATTTGAAGACACATTTGTATTCCTGGGAATTTTCTTAGAGGTAAATATCGTGATCCGTTTATAAATCCAGAAAATTATTAGTCCTAGCAAGGTGCCGAAAATACCCTTACCGGTTGATGTGCTTTAGTAATATGTGTGGAAATTCTCTGAAACAACTCGTGTGCTAAATTTGATCGTACAGATGTGAAGTTTGTAAGTTCTATTATCTTTTCTTGAGACGTCCAGAACTTCAACGTGTTTTATTTTGTATTTATCGTTTTTTCATAAAAAACGATAAAATAACTAACAGAATATTATTTAGTTTTTTGTGGTCACCAACGGTTATAAGGGTGAATTATATGGGATTATCATGTTTCCAATTTCAGAAAGTTACTTTTTGAAAAACCACAATAATTATAAATGTTCTGGTATCACTAATAGATCAGTCATTTTAATCAGTGGCTTTATTTAATATTATATGTTTAGTACATTATGGAATTCTGAGAACATAGTATTTCAACAAGTTTCTTTTACAAAACTAAAGAGATCGATAACTGCATATGCATCTATTGAGTAAATAAACTATCTGGAATTGAATGAAATGTTCCCTAACAATATAATAATATTTACAACTTTCATTTAGCAACATGTCTAAAAATATATTTCATTGACTAACTCAGCTCTTATAGCCTGTTCATCGCCTAGTATATTTGCTAGATAAGGTATCGTATAACTTTTATACCTTTGCTCGAGTGTATGGATTCTAATATATTTCCGTCTCGTTCCTTTATAAGAAATACAGGGAAAAAGATATGAATGAAAAGGATGGTTACTATTTGATTGTATCACAGTTACCAGGAGTTTGGAAGATTTTAATTATCCATCCTTAACCGTATTCATAATCAGTTGATAAGAATCACCACACACCCTGCTGGCTGTCTTCAGTATTCCGCGCAACACAGCAAAATCGTTTCTCAAAACCGGAGAAAAGAATAATGGAAAATGGTAAAAAACAATAGGTAATACTCAAGAGTTAGCAAATCACCAAACAAACAACTTTCTTCGATATCAGCAAAACACGAGAAGACCAAACGAGATTAACGGGAAAACTTACACTAAGATAAATAACCTTCGACGTTGTTTTCAGTACAGAATCTCGATTAGTACAAAATTTATGGGCTTCCAACAGAGTGTTCAAGTGCTGTCCATGTCTCAGTTTAAAATTAACATTTCGACATCTATGGGAATTAAGTTTGAGATATTTAACAACAGTCATCGTTCAATGACAAGAACTCATTCTTATTAAAGTGATATGATGAGTCCGAAATCTATAAGTCAACCCTAACACACTAATAACTATTTTTAGTATTATTTCTTTAAATCTAAAAATAGAATTCTAAACTTGTATTTTGTTTCCTATTTTCAGGGTTAGTTTGAAAGCTGAATACGATATACGATCTGTATTGGAAACAGTTACAAATGATTTATTAAGCGTTACTTTCCATGCACCTATAGAATGGCCAGCCTCAGCTATTCTTCTCAATGTACTCAGTAGTCTTTTAATCCAACAACTTAATCAAACAAATCAAAACGCCAATATTTCAACAAATCCTACCACTTCACGTTCTCGTAATACTGAGTTATGTGGTAAACTTCTAGCTGTTGATACCCTTGCGTCATTGATTGTTGGTCTAAAACGTGGAGCTAAAGTATACAGCCTAGATTTACCATCCTCATTATTCATTCAAAATAAAAATCATTCTGACTTAGAGGACGGTAAAGATAATTGTATGAAAACGAATAAATGTCAAACACGTTTAATTGGTTTATTATCATCTCCAATCCCAATAATTCACCACTGGTATTTTTCGTTCTATGATATCCTTCAAATGAGTAATAAAAACGATGACTCTAATTTTTCAGAAGTTTGTGAACGATTAAATTTGGATAAAAATATGATTTATTTGCCAGATCTTTGTTCGAAATACTACGATTTTCTTCTTCTGGTAAGTTTATTTTGCCTTTCAGATTATTCCTCAACATTCTATTCTTCATGATAAAATCGGAGAGAAATGTATTTGTCATTTTAAATATTAGTGATTGTCTAACAGTATTGACAAAGATTTATCTGGCTTACGATCCTATCTGCTTCTTTTTATATAAGTAGCACAAAGTGACTTTTAGTCAACAGAATGTCTCAGTTCGTGGGTTAATAAGTGACATCTTAATTTATGTATCAGTACTTTAAGCGATCTACAACATGCTACCACTCATACTGCAATTACGACACACCTTCAATGGCTAAGCTAACATGTGGTTCGATTCCAGTTTCTTCCTTGTACTTCGATACGTTTATCTGGGTAGTAATATCCTTATATAGAGGAAAACAATGGCGATGTTGTAAAAGTTTCCATATTATTGATTCAAAGGATGTCTGCTTTAGTTCGAAACCTAATAGTAGTGACTCTTTGAAAGTAGCAAAGCCATTATGTCATGGTGGGAGTAACTGCTGTTGTTAATTAACTGTTTGGATTGAAGTCTTTTTAATATATTGAATATTGTTTATGTTAGTCGCTCAACCTGCATTGATATTAGATAATGTTACGGCAATAAATCATTTGATAAATATAACTGTTTTTACAAGATAGTTTCATTAATTTTATGTGCAGATATGCCATATAGTACTAAGATTTAGGGTCTACGGAGCGAGGCTTACTGGTTAAGTTGTCCGATTTCTGCCTCTCCTATTTCTGTTTTCTTATCCGGGTAATATGATTTGCTCTCAAATTTAGAGCGTGGTTCATGCTGAAGTACCTGACGACTAGGTTTTTAAATGCTTTAAAATCTTGATATCAAAATTAAATAGAGCCTTTCAGTGTATTTTAATGCCTCAAATATAATGTTGACACTTGCCTATTTGTAGACTGCTCACAGATTTCATCTTGCTGCATGGCTTCATAATTGTAACAGAAACGTCCCGGTCACAAATTTAGACATTCCTACCGGGAGTGCGAAAGATTATTCCACCAATTCTACGAAAAACAAAGCTTGTGTGGAAAAACTTCGACATCAATTACTAGCTGAACTTTCTCTCACACATTTAAACTCGTCAGTATCTGGACTTGGCTTTCCGTTTGCTAAGCAAAACATATCATCAATCTCTGCAGCTTGTATGGGATGCCCTAATTCTTCGCAGCATTTGTTATCACGAAGTCGCGCAAACTGTATGTGTTGTTCGGGCATGGGGTGGGGAGGTTCATTTCTAGCTCAGTCCATGTCATCCCAACGTTTTATCACATATACTCACATGCCAAAATTATGCAGTAACATGCGATTTCGTCTAGTTGCCCATGCCCATATTTCTGCGGTTTATCTCCTTGGCGCCCATGCGGTTTTGCCGAATTTCGACGTGCTTTACGGTTTTATTTGTAAAGTAAGCATAAATATATAAAAGTATAAATTCAGAGTAACTTTTGCCTACCGTTTTTCATCTTAGAAGTGTACGAAAGTTTGGTTTTGATGCATTTGTATTAGCTATTATATTGTATAAGTTCCGTCTGATAAACTGGTATAGTTTCTCCGGTAACTCTTGATCAAATTTAACCACCTATAGACTAATTCGTATTGTAACTGCCGTCTTAATCTTTTTTGCTTTATCCATGTACTTAGTCACTGTCTTCGTGTTATTTGATCAATGTGCGTGAAAACTGCCCTCATTATCTTCGTGGTTAGTTAATTAAATAATAGTATGGAATATCCCCTTAATCGTTGAAAAATTTAATTTTCAATTACCAGTTTGGGAGTTAAACTCTGGCCTCACGTAATTCGTTTAAGCAACTGAGTAGTATCATCATTCTTCGTGCAACAGTGCATGACTCCAAACCTAGGTACACCTAGGTAATTAATTAATTGTAATTCTGCGAAGACCCATCTTATTAATTAATTTAACTTTTGACGGTTCTATAAAGAGTTCAGGTTCTCGTGATTTTGTTATTAAATGTTAATTCTTTCTTTAAAAGATAACTTCAATGAAATTTTCCTAGTTCATTATCTCCGAAATACAGTTCGATTTTGATTGCTTTCAGTTTACTAAATTTGTTATATTCTCAATATCACTGCTCTTACAATAAAATATGTAAGAGATGTTCTTGAAAGTGAACGTTTAAGGAAAATAATCACTGAGTAGTCGACATTGGTAGTTCATTTTACGTTCATCTGATGCACAACTTGCTTTTAGTATTTGTGCAATAACTGGCCTTTAAACTGAATGTGTGGCCTAATGTCCCTCTATAGTGGACCTTCTCGTTTTTATGAAAGCCTAATCTTCTGTTAAGGTAACATTTAACCTTCGTGCTCACATAATTCATTGAGCTTCGTAATCCATAATGACATTTGCATTAAAATTAGAAAATTGAAGACAGTTGAATATCATGACTGAACTCAGAAATGTAGAACGTCAAGTTTCAGTAGGATCATAGTTCTACCCGCGAGATCTGACGATCCTGTGGTTGTTGCTGTACGCCATAGAAATCTTAAACCGGGACAATATAACAAACTCGTTCTGTGTATTTTTTTAGTTTCTTCTGCTGACTTCGGTTCTTGATAAAAATTGTTTCAAAATATCTAATGTTTAATAGTGAACTTTTTCAAATTAACTTATTCGATGCACTTTAAAGATATTATTATGTTGATTTTCAGTTTTGATTGGATTATTGTTTCTTGTATGAATGTGGTGGCTAGTTCTGTTATGCTAAAATATTTTTACGGAACTTAAAATGTTCAAGTTTCTCTTCATTTCTTAGTGTGCTGCATATAATTTTCCACTTTTAGTTAGCCGGGGAGTCGTCAGTACCTATGCGGTCGAAAGCGTTGCGTTGTCTTGCTTTAGTTATTGATGCTGATCCGAAGTTGATGTCTATAAATAAAGATACTAAAAATAAAAGCACGATTTCATCGAGTCCGATTTTCGATATCTCCAACATTGTTCGCGCACGTTTATTGGACAACTCCACTGCCGTTCGCGAAGCAGCTGTCGACTTGATCAGTCGATATTTGACATTGCGTCCACAATCCTTAGCTGAATACTACTCTGTTATTGTGGAACGTGTCTTGGACAAGGGTGTTAGTGTAAGAAAACGAGTTATTCGGTGCTTTCGAGACCTACTACTTAATGATTGGAATAAATTTTTAGATTCTTCAAATTCTGGTTCTGATGGACACAATTACTCTTTCATTGGAAATCAGATGTGTACAGATATTTGTCTGAAACTTATTCGCCGACTTCACGATGAGAACAGCATTCAAGTATGTCTTTTATTCCATATGTATACCTCAATTACCTTTTTTGTAACATGGTATTCGCCAACTATGGTTTTATACATAAGGCTATAAGTATTATCTTTTATGTAAATTTAAGTGATACTACTGTATTTACCAAAACTGAAGTACTTTAGGTGGGATTCAAATCCGCAACTCAGTCGTTAAGACGTGAGTGCTTTAACTACAAAACAACCACTTCCTTGTTGGATGCAAATAAATGAAATGAAGTCATTAATCAAATGCTCCACTGATTTGTCCTTAGTTGAACCATTACATGGATTAGTATTTCAACTACTGTAATATTTTCGAAGCGTTTTTTAATCTCTCCCTATAAGTGCTTTATTTCATATAATCGCTCAACTAATTATCACTCAGTGGAGTAATTTATTGTTATTTCATTACATACATTCGCCTCTAGATTTATTCTCTCACAAAATGGCCTAAAATATTTTTTCTAGAATGCTTTTATTCTCTGCTAACGTTCTGTTAATTTTTCTTTTTTAAAGAAATTGATTACTGAAGCCTTCCGAGAACTATGGCTGACTCCAATATCGAAATCACATTCTCGTTTCTCGAAGGTTCTTGATAGGCGTATCACAAGTTTAGCATCAGTGACTGTTACTCTTAGACCGAATAACTTTGACCTGTTGAACACGTTCATTGTTCAAGTAAGTATGAATCATATTTGAAATAGTTACAATTTCATCCCGCCTTGTAGAAATCAGTTACGTCTCTTATTACCATAGAAAATACTCTAAGAACTTTCTGTTTCTGTTTAGGATCTATCTTCAGGGGAACCACATCCTTCAGGGTCTCAGTTTGATGCTGCGTGCAAGCAGATTATTGGCCGTCTGATTATTTTGATCAAACGACGTATTGGTAAGCTTGATTGCGTCATATATATATATATATATATATATATATATATATATATATATATATATATATATATTTGCAGTGGTCTCATATATTATAGTTTACGAATTCTTACTTCCCTATTTTTGTACTTGCATAACACTAATAAATGATAAATGTATCCTGTTTGTATACTCGCTAATAAATGATGAATTTGGTTATAGACTCATGCATTTAGTTTAGTGGACTTTGAAGTATTGATATGTGTGCAACTAATATGATATGTGATTACCGATCAAAATATTGAACAAAGTCTCAGTTACCCTGTAATAATAATAATAATAATAATAATAATAATAATAATAACAATAATAATAATAATAACAATAGTAATAATAATAATAGTGGAAATCTGTTGTTGATCACCATGTTGCCTATCTGCTTACGTTATTTGGTAATATACCTCTTTGTTTCAACTCCATAACCTTCGTACGAAAAAGATCAAACTCTAAAGAAAACTTTAATCGATGAAGCATCTCGGTAATCCGTTTTACAAAACTGTTCTCGCAAAACGTTGCATACGTAAATATCATATATTTCAGACGACAAGTGACAAGTGATATTTTAATATTAGATATGGTCCTATAGCTCAATAAATGTAGTTGTCATAATCTTTGGTTTATTTGATATACTTTCTCAATATATTATTATTACCATTCTAATTAATTGGGATTTTTCAATTGTTTAAGACATTTTAGCTTTTCCTTAGTATCGAGAGTAAGTTATTTAGCTTATGTAGTACTTTCATAAAAAATGATTGTGAAATTTCGACCATGAAAGTGAAACAGAAGAAACTGTTTTAAAAGTATTAAGTCAGAACTGCAAAACAAATGGTAAATATTCACGTACAGGTTGTGTATTCGCAAGCGTAATCAGTTATCTATTGGAAACTCTCTTTACGCTCTTGCATAATGGAGACCAGTAACAGTAAATTCTTCCAGAGGAATTATCATTACAGTGTGTAGTCACAAGGAAAGTGTCACTCACTCAAATACACTTCTAGCATCATTGTAGTTAGTCTTATTCATTGTGAACTAAAAGGTTAATTGACATCATGTCAATATAAGCCTGTCCTTTTGACTTTATTAGCCGTTTGTGTAATTTATCGTCATAGTTGCTTTTCGCTTGTCACTAATTGAAATATCGTAATATGCCTTAACCATTTATTTCTCATTCACGCTTTGCGACCTAACCGCTTCATATATAGCCACTGCTCCAGCTGGAGAAATATAAAAAGACAGGGCCCTAATAAACAAATTTTGCACTTCCAAAATTTTTGAAATGAGTTACCCCAGTAACAAAATCAGTTGTCTATTTGTGTCATAGGCAAGATCAATACATTATCAACATTTTTTTGCCTACCTACGGTAACATTGTCTGTTCACTCAATTGTTGTATATACATCATTAGCTCACAGGAACCCCCCCATTCCTAATCCGTCAATAAAAAATTCTGAAAAATCACACAAATACCTTTCATTTTAGACCCTCAACGCACATGATTTTATATTTAGCTTACCTGAGTATAACACCGAAAATTATGAATTTTAAATAGGTGATTTTCAAAAAATCCACACATAAGTGAATTAACTATAATTTATTAACAGCAAGATATATAGCAATAATTAATACGTTAAACGTTAGCTTCCAATATCATGAAACAGTAAAAAAAATCATAGAAAATATATTAATTTAATATATATATATTTAATTTCCTCTCTCCGCCTTTTCATAATACACAGGATGCTTTCTGGTCCGTATTGTACTGGAGAGGTTTTGTAAATGACTCAGTAAAAAGAAAATTTACGTTCATTTTTAGGACTTTAATTGATTTAATATTGTACATACTCACTTGTTTACCATGGCTGGCTATTGTAGGTCCTTTACTGGTCCCAAGTTCTAAACAACTGATAAAGCAAAGTCACCCAATGGAATCTCGGAAATCGTCACAGTCGCTTTCTTTTCTGTCGAATATGCATGGTCTTATGGCTTGTTTACATCTGGTTAGTTATAGTAAACCTAATCTTGTTCGCCCCCACGTTGGTTTTTTAATGGATCTTGTGCATAAAATATGTTTATCTGTTCCTGGAACACTGACTAGCACTGGACAAACGGAAAATCAAATGAAACCAACAAATACTCAGTTCCTTTATCACCTGATCAATGTTGTAGAAATTGTACTCACAGAAATAGCAAGCAACTTAAGTGAGTCAGATAGTCCTCCTATGGAAGAAGCTATGTTTGCCGGCGTTCCGTAAGTTTTCGTTTGGTTTTTGTGTTTGATCTGTGTTACGTAGATTTACATAAGCACTTTTTGTTTTGTATTGTGAAAGTCAGATGTTCATGTAAGAATACCAACGAAATGGCAGGTCTTAAGTTATGACCAAACTGAGAATATCTAAGGAGAACAGAAGAGATTTTTACGCTGAATTATACTAATGAAAATGATGTAGTGTTCTATGATCTGGATTGATAAAAAATACAATACATCCAACTTCCTTACACTGAGATAAAGGTATTCTTGGTCATCTCATGAATAAGATTTCGTCATTTTTTTATATCTGTTAGTTCGAAAAAATACGATCAATAGTGGTTCAGTTGAGAGTGAAATTTGTTATTACAAGGAAAATCACTATTCCTACCTATTTCTGTTATTGCTAGATAGTATATCAGTAATACTTTGTCATCTATTGCAATCTAATAAATCTAACTCTTTTAGAGCTACATAAGTTAGATGAGGTTATACTATCAGTCTTTTTGGATCTTCTTATTTGCTTGATTTTTGTATGGATACGTTAGCTGCAAACATCAAGTGTTGTTAAAATTAAATGTTGTAATTTTACTACTTCTTTTATATTTGCCTTGATTTGAGCATATATTGAGTATGTTAACCTGATATTTCTTAAAGAATCATGCTACTCTAAATAACGTCTGTGTAAACCAATTTCGTGTATTTATTCGGTGCTAAGCTTTATGTTCACAGTATTGTTGTTCTATGTCTACGGTAATCATCGTCAATGTAAATCTCGGAATAAATATTCAATAGATCGCAGCATAAAAAGATAAAACTTAATAAATAAATAGCAAAAGAGTCAAATTAGTATTAGCATCATTGTGTGCTGTTCATATTAAGGGATTCGAAGCAGTATTAGCATTTATATTCTGACAATGATCAGAAACCTATGCAAACAGTGAAATCATGACATGTATTCAGATTACCAAGAAGGCCACTGGGGGAAGGCTTCCGGTGAACTCAAGGAAGCTCTAGAAGGGCCGAAGACATTCCATACAATCACCGTGTAGTTCTCCGATTGGACAAATGCTAAAAACCACTGCATGCTGATTGGATGATTGTAATGATGATTTCGTTTTTACTAAAAGCTATAGATACCTTAGTGTTTTGTGCCATATTTGACTGGTTCGAATAAGATTCCTTTTCATTTTTCTTCTGTCTTCTAACTTGCGATTTGGAGGGTTCAAGCGTTTGAGTTCTCAAATTGTACGCGGCATAGCAGAAATTCCAGTTCCAGATGTGGCAGCCACCATCCAATGTAATAACGTATTGAATTGCGATAGAAGTAAATTAAAAGTGATAGGAATGGGTAGAAAGTGGATTGAGTTAAGTGTGAATATTTAGACTGAATATATTCAGATTAAAGTACCTTTTTTTTAGAAAACATTGAAAAAACATTCGCTTGTGAAGGGTTTGGTGTTTACGAACTCTGTTTTAGTGTCGAACGACCTTGAGGGCTAATATTTTGGCACTGTTGGGCATACAGATTCCTCTATGGTTACCACTCGGGGATTTCTGTGCGTTTCTAAGAATCGGGATCAGTGATGTAGATCAACCACATGATTTTTCCAACTTCTCAGAGTCTCTGATCTTTTGTCTGTCCCCATTTTAGGTTGTTTCGGAGTATCGAGTGACCGTAGAGTAACTGGAGACCAGTAAAGCTGCTTTTGGTTTTTCCATATCTTGTTGTCGTTTTTGACGATCATCATTGTGTACACATTTTATCATTCTACTTTTAAAATGTTTCTGATCCTCATTGTTTTCAAGGTCTGCTTGCATGAGTTTCTTAGCACCTATCAAATCAGTAAAAGTTTCTAATGTCCATCGATATTTCTTAACCTTCCGGTTTAAGTTGTCGATTGATATTAATGCTGTGTTTGCAGCTGTTTTTATAATATGACAAGCTACCTCTTTATTATCGGCTAAGTGATTGTCTGTTTCTTCCTTGACCTTTTTGTGTTCTAACTAAGCTCTAAACCATCCTCATGTTGTTCAAACCTTAACAATGTTAGGGTTAGGTTTAAGATTAGGGTTAGGGTTAGGTTAGAGTTAAGGTTAGGATTGGGTTAGGGTTTAGAATTAGGTTAGGGGTTAGGGTGCTAACATGCGATCGGTTTACATCGGATTTTATAGAAAAGTGTTGTTTACGAAAATGAGAGGACGAAAAGCGAATGTCCGGCGCTTTAACCGGATTCCAAATCAATGGTGCACATGGGCTCCAGTATCTTGCGGGAACAAATGGCGTATGAACCAATTGTTGGTCACCGACTTCCATGGGACTGCATTTCCTTACGATGCTCCACTGCCTTGTGGCTTAGACCTTCAGGTCGAAGGCTCGGAGTGTGGCCCCCTAAGAAAACCACCTGTTTCGGTTTGGGCACCCGAGCAGTATCACAGCCCTCACACACATATCGAATGAGATTTGTGTGGCGCATATGTATTTGGTGCCTCCTTGTACCAATATCTATGTGTTGAAATAAATAAATAAACTTCTGCGTTCAGTAAAATTCATGGAATTGCTTGCTTTCGCTATTACAATAATGGGGTTCAAAGAGTATGTCTCCAGAAGGAGTGACAGTCTTCTGATGTGACTCCGAAGGTGGTTGAAAGCGATATGGTGTGTTGATGTTAATATTTACTAAGTAAGACAATGTCCTTCATGATTAAGGTTAATATTTATTAGGGGTAAACAGCCTGTCTGAGGATAATTGTAGCTGGCATTCACTAATATCTGTTTTCCGAACTGAAACACCACATCAATCTAGCTATTGCTTAAACTGGATTATCTAACTTACTTGGGTTTTAAAATCATGTACTATGTTAACTTCGTCTGAGAACCTGGATTTTTGAAGGAAGTCGAAGAATTTCTTGTAAAACCTGCGTTTCGCTCCACTGAATTGCATTCGGTGGAAGTGTACTCATTAATGGCTAAAAAACAGACAACACGGTGTATCTCCGTCTCTGGATTTTTGATTAGTTAGGATTCAAGCGTCTGTTGACAGGAATTTATTCTATATGTGTTTCTTATACTTTAGAATTAATGCTTAATTTCTTCTAATCTCTCTTCTGTTATGAAAAGGCAAAAACGCTCAAAATACTTTTTATATGTTATTTGATTAAAGAAATATTTTATATACACTTCTGTAACGAAATGGTGCTAAATGTAATAATTATTTGTAAGCTGTTTTCAGCCTTGCGAATATCCATATGGTCAGTCATAGTGTATCTTTATTTGAATGTTTTTCCTAGACGTACTAACTTCTTCCAGTTACAAAATGATTTACTTCAGTTTGTTCAACGTCAAGGTCGTTTGGTTGTTGATTCAGCTTTATCGTGTTTAGCAGTGCTCGTTAATCAAGTTTTAAAAGACCAAACTCAAGTTATATGTTGCTTCACACAATTCTATGGTACGTATTTTACATAAATATATACTTTTCGAATAGTTTTTTTTATACTTTTGTACATCATTAGTGATAAATAGAGCCTTAAATATATTTTTCAATCGATAAATGTATCACTGGTTGTTACTAGAATGTATACTATAATTAGAAGTTACCTTTTATTTCATTCACACAACGTGATTTCATTCTCCTGTGGTAAAATATCTTTTGATTATTGAAATGGCTTGTAAATAAAATGTATTTTTCGTTTTCACATATTTTATATTTATCTCAAACTTGAACTCGTTGTAAGGTATGGTACATATAATTCCTGTTTAGTTAGTATTATAGTGTTATTAATCAAACTATGCATGCAAAATAGTTATCAAATTGTTGAGCACTTCGGGGAATCGTATGTAATATGATTTCTTTCATTACTCTTCATTTAAAAGGTATTGAATATGCACCATATCTAACCAATTGGGACCACTTGTACTATCTCCTGTTGTAGGAAGTCTGTAATTCACGTGGCCATATGGCCATTACATTGGTTTAAACTACTTACGTACTAAACCACATTTCATTCTTTTGAATCATTCTCAGCTTTGATATGCTACGTATTTATAAAATTAAAAGTTTGAGTTTATTTTTTTCATTTTTTACTTCAAGGAGTCATTTTTGATTTGTATCTCTCAGTAGTTTTCCACCTGTATATAATATGATTAAATCATGATTACTAAAAATAGACATATAGTAAGATAATAAACATCCATTTTTACCTAGTTTTACTACTTTAATCTTCGATATGCAATCTGAATTTTAAAATTTTTCATTTATCACCGCATCAAATCACGCATCTATGTTCAATGATTATTTACTTATTTCTTTTTAGGCCTCCTTACGGACCTTTCATTAGAATTACGAGAGGCTCTTTCAACTAAGATAAGTACTTCTGCTCGAATATCATCCAAAACTCGACCATCAATATTGCGGGCATTGTATACTGTCGGTTTGATATGTAAATACTTCACACTGGATTATTCATTTAACAGAAATAAGAAATCGGTGAGAGTTCGTTGTTTTGTCTGAATCATTCTGAAAGTTATTTGATTATCATGTTCTATTAACTACTATTTTTTTTTTATTCAAAATAAAGGGTATGTCTAATTCAAACCTACTGGATGAAGTTGTGGATATACTTATGTTGTTTGCGGAATATGCATCCATTCGTATACATGTACAAAGCAGCACCACATTTTCCAATCCCAGTAGCTCTACGAACGATCTTAACAATGAGGGTGTTAATCCGTCTCATACAAAGTCTGATATGATTGATCCAGATTTATGTCGTAAAGCTATTACTGGTTTAGGATTTTTATTATTTCGTCATGATAAACTTTTCTGTACTGGTTCTGTACAATTGTTTTTAACTCGATTTCTTTCAACTGTTCAAAATTCTTTAACCAATAATCACCCAACTGATGGATCCTCATTTTTTGAGATTCAGTGTATTATACTTGACAATTTAACACATTATTTATTACAGAAGGAGCGTAAAGCAACTGCAGATAATCGCTTGTGTAAGTTGTTGCTACTGATAGCCTTTAAAAATTATTAATGTAATAAATCCCTTTTAACTTATATTTGTTAAACTTGTGCTGTCTAAATTTAATTCAAAAAGAAAATTCAAACCTTTTTACGAACGACCTCAAGTTACCTTAGGAATACAAAGTTTTAATCTATTACCCGTGTTACTCTCATAATACATAAAATTCACAACTAATTTTCTACATAGACCACGGTTATCATTTTGTAGAATTTCTCTCTTCGCACTTACGGATTCGAAGACTCCTGATCCATCAATAATAGTAATTGTGATTAATCTTTTCTTTTATTCTGTCCCTCTTCTGTATGTCTTATTATCTGAAGATTATTTTTGCTCTAGTTATATGATCCTTGTTTCTTCTTAAATCTTCAATGATAATATAAAATTCATCATTACGATCTAAGTTACCTACTAAAGATATATATTATGATTATTGCTGTATAGGGCTAAATGAAATGAAATTCAGAATGCACGTCTCATCCTATTTTGTTCTCGTCAGTTTTGTATACCTCCACCCCAGTTTTCTAATCCATCATCTATATTTTAAAACAGCAACACGTCTATTGATCTATCACGTCGTAGTATCCACTAACTTTTCAAGGGTTATGACAGATATTTTCGTGTTATTTAAGACTGCATTCGATATTGCTCTATTAATATATGGACTCTTCGAATAGATACCTCTATGCCTCTACCCGTAGCCGCAAGTTGATTATATTTTCAATAGTGGTTAGTTAGAAGTACATCCTTCTGATGAGACCCCACTGTGATAAATAAAAAATACCACAAACACAGGTATATTTGTGCACTCTTCTAATTTTTACATTCTCTATGTATGTATCTTAGTGTTCACACTTCTGATTATGATATTTTAGGCTCTGTAGGAAATATACTTGTTATTCCTACCTAAGGTTTCTATTTTCCCACTTAATGATTGATGCCAATTTATCTTATAAATATCTTGGAGTAATTTTAAGTTTGGTTATGAAGTCGATCTATGAGATCAACAGTTTTTGACGTTAGTCTGTTTCCCATTTTTTATCTAGGGGCTACACGTTCCAAGCGTGAATCTCTCAAAGAACTAACTGATCAAGTAACTGGTCACAGCAGTGCAGTTGCCCAAACCTATTTGCCCATAGTTTTGAAATATTGTATTCTCACCCCTTCTATTAGTGTTCGCTCTTCAGCCTTAAGCTTAATATCAACTATATTACGTCAAGGATTAATTCATCCATCTCACGTTTTGTCTTCCCTGATTTGCTTGCAAACTGATTCAGACCCAAGTATTCGTTCTCGTGCTTCAGTTTGTCTTACAGAAGCAGAACAAAAAATTCCCGGATTCGCCGCAGTAAGTTTATTTTAAATTATTTTTATTATTATGTTTGATGTTCATGGCTTTAAAATCAATTGAAATGTTGATTGCTTTCATACCATCAGTTCATTTGCAATAATCATACAAAGTTCTAGATTACCTAGATATTAGATCTTATTTTACAGTTCCGTACCTACCTTTAAATGTGGGAAATTTAAATAAACTTATTTTTTATTGCTTCTATACAGAGTATTCAATAGGCTAACGTCACTGAATACATATATTTGGTTGCTTAGTCAACATCAAAGATGGTTGACATCTATGGATTATTTTTTCTAGATTTGTATGAAATCTTATTGGATATAGACGAATGTTAGGTTATAAGCTACTTCAAGTATTGTATATCGTGCTTGCTGTTATCAGGACCATGAAATTTTGAAACTTACAAGTACTCACCATACGAAAAGAATCACTGAATTACTCTCGTGGCTAATAAAACATTTGTAATTTGTGTTTTAATCCATGTTTACTGACAAAGTTTCTTGAATTAATAAGTAAATTTCTTCACCATTAATTGTCCTATAACTAATTGTGGCATTGTTATCATGTATATTAGGTAAACGAAGACTGAACTGGAATAAGTCAGGAAACTAATAATAATAACTGGAATGATAGCGGATTTTAAGCCATTTAATCAAAGCTCCGTTCATTTTATTTTGAATACGGAACCCATGGAGTCCTTGGATATTTGTGTTCTAAAATGTCTGCATGTTAATTTAAATATGTTTATCAGTATATAGTAAATACAGTAGGTTAGTTTATTTCCTGTCTATATTTTGTCAGCGAATTTTACTTTCTGGGTCTAGTTTGTGCGGAGTATTTTTTTCAAAATAAGTAAGTTCCCTAAATATCTAACAAAATTAAAAAAAACCGATTTGTCATTGTTTTAGATAATAAACTTCAGCCCACTTACAATTCAAAAGAGATTTATGCATTACCCTTGATTTTTTCATAGATGCGAGCTGTCTCTGGAATTCGTATGTCACATCAGTTGCAAGTAATTATACACACTAATGAGTTTTCTTCACTCATAGTTCGCGGAGCTAAAGATTCTAAAACGGCTTCTGAAAGTAAATCACTTTCACCGACAAATAATTCTACATCTACAGTATTTTGTATAAATTATGGACTGTATATCATGTTGAGAACTAATCGACAATATCGTCGATCGTTAATCGTTAACTTATTATCTATATTTGATGAATACCAGGTAAGATAATCAAGATTTCAACGTTTTTGTATTCTGTAAGCTTCTTACTGCATTTAACTATATGACACAGTCTCCAGTGTTACGTCTGAAGGCATTCCCCACTTGAATAAAATCTCTTATAGTAAAATTCTTTCATTTTATGGTATTTTCATTTAGATCAAACTAACTCGTCTTACGAATGAGAATGACGTCATTTAATACAGACACAAATCTATTGTCTTTCAATATTTGTTGACGTTAAGTATAGTTATCAACATAAGCTATAAATCTTTCCTATTACTACAATCAGCATGATTTTTAATAAATATAAGGGTTTAGGTTGCGAAGGTTTGACTAATATAGCGTCTAAAATATTGACTGAGGTCTTAGGTAGAATCTGGGAAATGGACATAATTCCATCTGACTGGTCTCAATCACTGATTGTGCCAGTCTATAAAAAAGGACAAAAGTCCTCTTGTGACAATCAGAGGAACCAGTTTGACTAATATAGTGCCTAAAATATTAGCTTCAGTAATACTTCGACGCCTAACCAAAGCTGGTGAAGAACACGTTAGAGAAAACCAGACTGGTTTTCGACCTGGTCGAGGTTGTGTAGACCAGATATTCACACCACGTCAGGTCCTAGAACATAGACACACATTCAGACGCCCTACAATCGTAGTGTTTCTCGACCTTAAAGCAGCATTCGACTCTGTTGATCGTGAGGTTCTATGGCAGTGTTTGTCATTGAAAGGAGTACCAAAGAAGTACATTAACCTTATAAAGGCTCTCTACTCGAACACAACTGGTCGAGTGAGATTCACTTGTTGACTTGGAATATACCGATGACATAGTTCTATTTGGTGAAGACGCTGACAAAATGCAGAGTCTTCTGATCACTCTAAGCAACAATGCAAGGATGTTTGGGATGCGATTTCCCCTCCCCTCGAAATGCAAAATGTTGCTTCAGGATTGGGTTGCGTCAACACCCAAACTAATAATAGGGAGTGAAGTAGTTGAGCGTGTTGACCGCTTCACTTATCTTGGGAGTCTCATCAGCCCTTGTGGTCTGGTGTGTGACGAAATCTCAGCACGGATACAGAAGGCTCGACTAGCTTTTGCCAACTTGCGTCATTTATGGCGTAGGCGAGATATCCGTCTATCAACCAAAGAACGTGTGTACTGCGCAGCAGTTCGTTCCGTCCTACTTTATGGCAGTGAAACATGGCTGGTAAGAGTAGAGGATATTCGTAGGTTACTAGTATTTGATCATAGGTGTCTTCGAAACATTGCTCGTATATCCTGGGACTATCGAGTAAGTAATTTAGTTGTTAGGAAATGGGTACTAGGTAAGGATGGCAAATCAATTGATGAAGTAGTGAAACTTCATCAGTTGAGATGGCTGAGACATGTGTTACGTATTCCAACCACCGACTGCCCCGACGTGTGATGTTTTTTTGGTGTAGGAGTAGGTTGGAAGAAAGCTAGGGGCGGCCAGACCAAAACATGGCACAAGTCCATGAAGTCACTGACAAGTGGACTGCGTCATGTTAGTAGGTGTAGACTACCTGGTTGGGATTTGCGAGACGATAGCAACCGATGGTTAGAGACTTTAAATGACATGGTTCAAAATCGTTTGCAATGGCGCAGGTGCATCCAATCTTTGTGTCCTCCCAAATTCTAATCTTCTGAATTCTTCATGTCCCTTTCATTTCTTTCCAAATATACTTCACTGGATTATACTCCTTGAATAACATTTTCAAACCCTAATCTTTCCGATTACTGCTTATTACTCTTACTACCTCTATCACTACGGGATTTGGATCGACAATCTTATCTCTGTGCCAATGTGGTATGGCAAGTCGAACTGATGTACGTACGTACTTACGAAGTTCTACGTTGTTAGTGACTGAGGTTGCGAATGTTTGTATACTTTGTAAACACTTTCAATTTCAATAAAGCAATTTAAAGGATATTCTCTAAATTTGCGACGCGTAAGCCCAATACAATAATACTTCATTTCCTTTTAACACATGCGATAAAAAGACCAAGACTGATATTATACAAGGAAGGTTTTAGTGTTTCTAGAAGTAGCACTATTAGTGTGCATTCCCGAACGCATCCGTAACAAGCTTAATGGAAGTTATCTTTCAACGTATGAATACTGGTGTTTGCTTTATATTTCTATATTTTTTTCTTCTTATTAATTTACAGAAATCATCACTTCACACCACTGAAAATGAGAGTATTCAAAGTCGGTTAAGTCATTTGATTTTCATCGCAGATCACTTGGCACACTTTCCATACGTAGTTCTTGATGAAGTTTATTACGTTGCTGACCTAATAGAACAAAAAATAAGCCTAATAGGATCTAATATTTTAAGATCCGTATACCGAAGTTTGTTATCTGCTGCTCAAAACAAATGCTCAAATTCAGAAGTCTGTGAGTTATCCAGACCTTCAATGAACAAGGATCGAAAATTCACTAGTGAAACTGACCTCATGGATTTCCTTGATAAGTGTGAAGCAAATCTACCTAGAGAATATGACTTCAACACTTCTTATAAATATATGGAAACAATAAAAGCTCTTGATAATCAAATTTCATTTAGTTCATCTGAGAAAGACCTACAAAACATGTTCAAACACTGTCAGTCAGATACTTTAAAAGGAAAGGCACGATCATCTGTGGTATACGCAGGACCATCTTGTCTACTGCTTATGACTATCAGGAAGTTTATACGTGAATACTATGGTGTAACTTACAGGTAAATTTTATTTTCATATATACTTCATACTGTATTAAATGTGACCAGCAAAATATTAATTTCGTACTAAGGTAAGGTATTATAGAATGATTTGTGAGTTTATTATTATTGTAAAATTTATGTCATATGAATAGGACTAAAACGTAGGTGTGTTGTCATTCATACTAAGAAACAACAAGCGAATCAATCCTAATATAGCGAGTTATAATGTATGCGTTTTTTTATTTTGTATTAGGATCGACTAACAATTTGATTGCTCATTGCTCAAACAAGGGTACATCTTGAAACTGCTAAATAAAAATGTTATGTAGAGTACCATAAATTTATTGTCTTTAACATGTTCTACAGATAATTACATATTTTTTAAAATAAATATTCACTGTAACTGTTTCAGTAAACTAAAAGATTACTCACCTTCTGATACATCGAAACTTTGGGAGAAACCAATTATATTAACAAGACAATCAAGTTTTTCTGGCCAGCTCATGACATTATCGTGCATAGTTTACCAGTACGTTTTGAACCCTGGGTGGAGCGATGTATCTAAAGGCCCTCCAGATCATATTCTTTTACGCCATTTTCTTGTACTGCGTCGAGAATTAATGCTTCATGAAGACAGTTCATTAAATGAGCAGTCGGTAAAGTGTACTTCTAAGCCTAATGTTGAAATTTCTGACATTGAAAATGACATAAAAGGTAAGTTCTAAATCAGCATCAGTTTTTCCTATGACTATTTGTTATTCTGTTGCATATTACAACTGTATACAGCACTTTAGTCGATCATCATTTTACTCGTTCAGTATTATAGTGGCAACTCCGCCTATAGCTCTTCTGGAGTTACAGTAATTTTAAAGCCCGAGTGAAGGAGGAGGGCTGGGCATGGGATCTGAAACACCATCCCGTAGATAAAAATTTTGCTACAATAACGCCAACCAGATTAAACAAATCAAACCATTCAAACTCTGCCCTGGGGGTTGAAGGAATAATTATGGCGCCTCAGGATGAAAGCCGAGATTCTTCTGAAGTCATGAGGCCGATGCCCCTTCTAACAGCCAGAGCAATAATTTTCATAGGTACATAGAACGTCCGGACAATGTGAGAGGTCGTGAGGACCAGTCAAATAACAACGGAACTAAGGAGATGCAAATTGGCAGTACTTGGAATCAGCGAAACCCATTGAACTCAAGCTGGACAGCAAAGGTTAAATAAGGGAGAGATGCTGCTGTACTTCGGTCACGAAGAGGAAAATGCTCCACACACTCAGGGAATTGCTCTAATGCTGTCCTTTGAAGCACGAAATGCACTTGTAGGATGGGAATCTCACGGATCCAGAATTATCAAAGCATCATGCAAAACAAAGAATGAGGGGATCACAATGAATGTTATCCGATCTTATGCACCCACCAATGATAGCAACGACGACAACAAAGATCAGTTCTATGGGAGGCTGCAATCAATCATAGCGAAGTGCTCAGGAAAGAAACTGACCATCCTGATGGGAGACCGAAACGCCAAGTTCAGGATGGACAACACCGGATATGAAGATATCATGAAACGACATGAACTGGGAGAGAGAAACGAGAATGGTGACAGATTTGCAAATCTACGTGTATTCAACAACTTGGCTATAAGTGTCACAATATTCTCACACAAACGTATACAGAAAGCTTCATGGGTCTCACCGGATCACACCATGGAGAACCAGATAGACCATCTTTGCATCACTATAAAATTCAGAAGGTCAATGAGAGGCGTGTAAACAAGGATGATTACTATCGCCCTTTCTTTTCCTTCTGATAGTTGACTGGATTATGAAGACCTACACATCTCAGAGGAAGCACGGCTTACAATGGACAGCTTGTATGCAACCAGACGATTCGAACTTCGCAGATGACCTGGCCCTTCTATCCCATACACAAAAACAACTGCAGGTGAAAACACACAGTGTATTAGAAGCCTCTGCAGCAGTAGGTCTCAACATACACAAGAGATAAAGAAAGATCCTGAAATCCAACACAGAACACCAACCCAATCTCACTTTATATAAAGCTCTGGAAGATGTAGAATCTCTCACGTACCTGGACAGAATCGTCGATAAACAAAGGGGATCTGATGCATGTGTGCGGGCACGCATTGGCAAAGCAAGGACAGCATTCCTACAGTTGAAGAACATATGGAACTCAAAACAACTGTCAACCAATATCGAAGTCAGAATCTTCAATACGAACGTCGAGACAGTTCTACTGTATGGAGCTGAAACGTGGAGAACAACCACAATCATCGACAAAAATATACAAGTATTTATAAACAGTTTTCTACGCAGGATATTCAATGTCCGTTGGCCTGACACCACAGCGACAGCCTACAGCAGGAGAGGACATACCAGCTTCCAACTGAAGAAAATATAAACAAAAGACGCTGGGGGTGGGTAGGACACACTGTGGAAATCACCAAACTGCATCACAAGGCAAGCCCTAACTTGGAACCCTGTAGGCAAAGGGAAAGGTCGAAGAACACACTGCTCAGAGAATTGGAGACAGACATCAAAACAATCAATCGCAACTGGAAAGGATTGCCTAGGGCAGGGTTAGATGAAGAGTGATTGTCAGCGGCCTGTGCTCCTTCTTGAGAGGTAACAGGCGTAAGTAAGTGAGTATTATAGTGACGGTTTATTTGATCAGCGTCTGTTACATAATGTTCATAATTTTAGACGTAACAATTCAGCAAAATAAGTGCACTGTAACTTTCAGTTTTAAAAATATTTGTGTTGTTAGTTCTAGATCACTAATCATAACAGTTACTGTTTTACCCGTTTGTTCATGATGTCGAGCTAAATATATCTACTGCACTTACGTTTTAAAATAGCTTATATTCTGCATAGTTTGCCACAGAAGTAGATTGAAATTCAACATGCAACAGAACTATATGTTCAGTTTTCCTCATATTTATTCCTTATTATATCATTTCCTTCATGACTTGTAGCTTCCATATGATTTCTACTGCATACATGGTCGATTGATCGCAACTTTTTCCCATGACGACAAGTAGTCTAACATCCATCAGTAATGTAAGATATATAATTATTCTAGTATTACGTTCACTAGCGCTATGTTATCATTGATAGGGTTTCTTTCTGTATCTCAGGGGATTTACATTATACTTCCTGTTGCATTTAGAATTGTCGGTGACGCAGCACATTTACAAAACATTGTACGAAACCGTGTATTTCAAACCTCTTGAATCCATAAGAGATTCTCACTAATAAAACTCTACCGACTTTTTTCGATATCTAAAGGTGTAAAAATAGTTTCCTACAAATTATTTCGGCAAACGGTTACTTCATTCTATTATGTTACTGATTTTTACCATTTCATAAGATTCTTCATTTTCCCACACATATTTGCCCTCTCAGTCAGTCAACAATTGAATACTGTATTTTACAGAAGATTGTCAGGCGGAAATGGAAAGTGGAGAATGCTCAACAACCTTATGCAATCTGTCAACTATGTCCAAACATAGCAAGTCAAATTCTGCGGAATGTTTACCAACTGTTAAACATAGTCTTGATAGTTCTTTTAATCAGACAATTGGGAAATCTGGTAAGCAGCTTGGAAAACATAAAATTGTAAAACGACAGTCTTCAAAATCATCTTTATCAGATCCTTCCATTGAGACCGTAGGCGACACTGGGATAAAAAATAAAGAAAAGCATTCGGTTGACCTACAATCTCAATGTTTAATTTCAAAGTCCATCAAAAAGCATAGACGGCTATCAGAACATTCCAGCTCCTCTACCAGCTCTGATTCAGTCGAGTTAAATAATCTTAGAAAGTCACAGAAAATTGGTAGTTCACGTGGTCACCAATCTCTATTGCAGTCAAGTCCAGATTCGTCGGTAAATATTGTTTTACAACAGTATTTTCGCCTTTACATTTGTTATGCAATTCATTGCTGTTTTAGCTAGGTTTACATTACTATGTTATTATACTGCATTAAGATTCCCATAATTTCATCTTATTTCTCGCAGTTATTCGTTTACATTATTCATGGTTTCATTCACTCTATCTCAAGATATGAGATGTTAACATCCTAGTTTCTATGTTGATCTACATATTCTGAAAACTCTTTTAAAACGATTTATTGTTCTATATGAAAGATATTGTGTGATACATTTTCGTATTTTTAATTTGCGGCTATTTACGTTACGCAAACGCAGTATTATTCAGTACATTCTGAAATCCGGTGCTTAGTTTACTAGTATCGCTAAATGTCCTTCACTTTTTGATGTCGTGTTTTGTCACTGGTGTACTTAAAACTGCTTTCCTATACATCGAAACCATTATGTTAACCTCAAGTACTAGTTTGTCAGTTCATTGAGGGGTTAATTCAAATCACTAATCGGTCATGATAAAGTAAATACATTCATTCATGAATATTTCGTTAATATGCCGAAAAATTAATATTTCATTTTGGCTTTGATTTCTTCGAAAATAAAGAATCATGTGATTGATAGATATTACACATCATAATTATAACGGAGGAAAATTTGTATGATATGTATTCATTGTCATCGGTTGCATGAACTAAATGTGACTAAGTGAAAATTACTCACAAATTCGAATTGTTGATGCAAGGTCCACAATGAAGAGATATCAGAATAATCTGTCAGTAAAACATTTGAGTTGTATGTAACAAAATTCACACAAAATATTTCACCCGATTTAAATGTTATGAAAATATGAAAAGCTGATTGATTACGTGATTCATTTTTTTAGATCGTTTGATGATCTATGATATTAAGACCTGATTATCTTGCCTAATTATGACTGCCATCATATCACAACTTAAATATCTGTAACAAAAAATCTTATCTTCTCTGTAAAATAACATTCTTCCAATTGTTTTTCTCTTTGTAGAATAAACCTAGTTTTCAAAATCAAACTCACCATACGCATTTCGAATCGTTAGATTCTGATGCCAACTCAGAAACTAACTCTGTGGATAGCTGTGTTAGAAAGAATAATAAGATAGCTATGATTTCAAAAGTTAAACAACCTAGTGTTTCGAATTATGCTAATAAAACAAAAAAACAATCAACTTCTCAATCTTATATGCAAAAAAATACTAAAACGAAAAAATCCAACTTTCAAAATTTGGGAGTTGTTGGTCATGCTAAATCTCTTTCTCATCAATGTCGTTCGACTAATTCAAAGCAGTCTACAGGTCCAACTCGCACTCTTGCTCCACTACCGTCTGCTATGATGAATAGTACAAATACATCTCGTCCGGGGAAGCATTCCGTTACGAATAGGAAAACTAAGCACGATTATAAACGTTCGGAATTCGCCAGTAAATATGAAATGAAACATGTATCACATCACTTTGCTTCAGGTGGTAATCATCACACTTCGCGAGTGAAGAATTCGAAATCTAAGTCATTACCTTCCAAAACCAATCATTCAAATGAAAGTCAAACTCACAATTCACATTCGGATGAACAACGAACAAGTAAAAAACACTTGTCTGAATGCCAGAGTTTCAAAATGCGTCAAATTAATTCAGCAACCAAAGAGAGTTCCATTAGAAACGGCCAAAAGGTATATAATCTTTTATTCACGTTATTTTGTACAAACGCATTTTATTCAATTGTATGTTTTTTTCCGTAATTAAGCTAACGGTTTGACTTCTAAGCATGATATTTTAAACGTCCATCTTTCATATACTGTTTTTTTTTCATTTTGTTGGTCCTCGTCCAATAATTTGACAAGCTTTTTATAGTCTCTTTTGTTGATCGTGTACAATTAATTATTTCTCCATGAAGTGTAGATATTAGGCGTACTTACTACTATAACTCTCAGTAATCACGCTTCTGTATACTCTTGATCGGACATGAATTTTGTGGTTCAGTTATTGAAATATTCAAATCTACATCAGTAGTTTGAACCACGTTCTATTACATAGTCTGACCATTTAATTAGTTTTATCAGTCATCACAACATAGACGTCAGTCGAATTCGTTTAGTTGAACTACATGGTACATTTCACCTACTATTCCTTCGACGTCACAGAAATAATGATATTTTTCTTCTTGTCACACTTTTAACACTTATATTAATTGTAATACAATGCGCATCGTATTTTTTTGGCGTATTTTATTCTTATTTTCAGCTGGAAATCCTACCCAATTGTGATAAAAGTGAAGAACAACTATCCGATTGTAGTGAATCCTCCTTGTCATCCACTTCTACATCATTGTCTTCATCATCATCAGAAGATAGTATGTCCTCTTTTTCCTCGTCGTCATCCTCGACTCTTCAGTCTGCATTAAAGCAAAAAAAGAAAACAAAACTCACTTGATGCTTTCCTTGTTTGCTTTTTATGAAACATTAAAGAAACAATTCGGAGGTCCAAATCTCTCAACACTTAAAGTAACATTTTAGGGCTGTTTTATTATTGTTGTTCTTTACCAACCAAACCTTACGTTTTTATTACGATTTTTTGTTTGATGCTTGTTTCTGTTCTTTATTATTCTCTGGCAAATAGTATTTTTACACAGAGGAAATGTTAACAAACGCACCCTACATTCAAAAGCATTCCTTTTTAAAGCGCCTTTGCTTTACTACTACCTATGAACAAATCGGATCATCTCCATAATGATGATATTGATTTAAATAGGTGTAGTTACGTGAAAATATCTGATTTTTGTGTATCATCCATAGTTTTTTATACTATTGTTGTATAGTGCTGTCAATATTCAGCTTTATTTATCAACACATATTTTGTTTTCCTCTCCTTAAATGTTTTTAAAGATTCTATATTGTGTAATATATTGAGTTATGCTTGTATGCGTACTTGCTGTCTTTTGTTCAGCCATGTTACAATCTTGAAAATAAGAGGCCATACTTATAACCTTTGTATGAACATGAATCTATCGACCTACTACATCGTCCAACTAATTGCTTCTGAGCTCATGTATGTCTTTTTTCTACAGATTCGGATACTTTCTGAACATACCTATCCCTTTCAAAATTCCCATTTTTAAAATACAATACTTCGATGATTTCCCTTGCATTCGTTCTAATATATTCGTTAATATTCCACTTACAAACTAATTTTTTTCAATTCCGCAACAGTTAATGTCCCAATATTATTTTTACATTTCTTGTTTCTTTAGTTGGTTGATTATACCAATAACAATCAAGATAACGATTTTGTAATTTCTTGATTCACTTCTTTCATTTCATTGTTTGATTTTTTCTTGGTTTGTTGCTTTCCAGTTGATCATACTTTATTTGCGTTTCCCACGTTATCTGTTGTTGTTTGTTTAACGTATTCGAATGTTTCCAAGCATTAGTCAACAGTAGTAGCTGAAGGATATATATATTTGCCAAAATATTGTTAACTTCAAATTACCACCGTCAATATTAATTCTTCCTATGATTATTTCAGTTTAATTTGTACAGGTTGAATCGCACTCTCGATTTACACATCTCAATAATCAAAATGTCATAAAATAAAGCATTGAAGTTCATATAAATTATTAATTTTATGGAGTATTTAATTCCGATCATTGTTTATCTTTATATATCCCAATTTGCTTTATCAAATATGTATTCATTTCAAACAGTTTATGTCCTAAAACGTCGGTTGACGATATTTGACAATCAACCAGTATTGTACACAAAAAACATTTGGTGCGCTAAGAAATACTTCAGAAAGATGATTACATTGTGAAACATTAAAAAAAAAAACATATTACCAAGTAATTTTTTTAGACAAAAACACTACTTATCTATACTTCATAATGAAAAATACAAATCAGCTAAAACTTATTTGACTAAGAACAACATATTCTTTTTATCAGTAATGTAAGGAACAACGATAGGATCGCCACTCGGCAATACTCTAACCGCAAAACATTTGTTTGCAGTACGGCCTATATGAATGTATACTTGAAATTCGGAAGTAAATTGCCAAGTAGGTTCGCTGTGCAGAACGTTGGTATTTGTGAGAAACAGGTTATTTGCATAATTGAAGCAGACAATTCCTAATATTCAACCTGCAACCAACAAGTCACTATTCGTCATTTAAACTCCTCGCTCATGTTTCTAGTTGACTGGATTGTCTAACTCTCCCAGATGTCGGGTCACTATTTTTGAGGCACGTTTTGTTGATACGTTTATTCATTCTATAACAGTATTGCTTATTTACTGCATACGAACAACAGTCGGGGCGTAGATAACGAAAACGGATCGCTCTCCACGCTGTTTACTTTCGCTTAATCTTGACAGAGTATAAAAGTGTAAAAGGATAACTTGTCAATGGATTTTTTCTCAGCTTTGGTACTTAATGCTATACCGATCGCAGGCTCTAATGCTAAAGAAAACAAACATTTTTTATTATCAGTATGAAGCTGTAGTACTTCATTAGATTATTGAATATGTACATATGATAACTAGGAGTATTCGAATTAATGTGCTTATGAGAATTCCGAAATAGTGCAATTTAAGGTAGGAACGTAATATATTTGGAGTTGGTAGTGGTTATCAAATTTGCCTCACGCGAAAGGTCCCTGGTCCGACCAGGTTAAGATGCGGTGACCACAAATGCCTTGGTACGGCCGAGAGTGGGGAGAGTCCGCTCACCCACTCGAAATGCTCTCACATGACTACGCGTATATAGCCTCTACCAGGGAATTTCTAGTCACTGCCTTCTCGTGGCGGGGGTGTTTACGAAGTTAAAAGGACGAAAAGCGAATGTCCGGCGCTTTAACCGGGTTGGTGGACACGGTCCACCTAGAGGAGTTGGAAAACCCTGATTCCAAACCAATGGTGCACATGGGCTCTAGTATCCTGAGTGAACAAACGGCGTATGAACCAATCGTGGGGCTGCATATCCTTGCGTTGCTTCACTGCCTTGTGGATCAGACCTGTAGGTCGAAGGCTCCGGTGTGGCCCCCTAAGGAAACCACCTGTTTCGGTTTGGGCACCCGGGCAGTATCACAGCCCTCGCATAAATCAAATGAGATTTGTGTGGCGCATATGTATTTGGTGCCTCCTTGTACCAATATCTATGCGTTCAAATAAAAAACAGTTAGTACAAATACCACAGTGCACCAAGCATCAGTAACGAATCTCATTGTGTCTCCAACCCAAAGGTCTAATCTAATGAGGTGACATTGGGAAATAAGGTCTTATAGTAGCACATGGCATTCTTTCAATATCCTTTGGTCCGTGTACATCGTTGGTTTGGACTAGGGTCTTCCAACACGTAGTTGTCCACTTCAGCCATTCTAGATTGAATTCCGAATTTCCACTTCTGTAATGATAATCAGCAGGACTTTCCTGGGAGAGGTTATAAACTTGCGAGTGTATTAGAATAAGTGAACTCCATTGTCTCATGCTTGCTAAGGTAGGGGACCATCGTGTTGAATATTCAATCATGCTCCTATGACAAGTAAGAATCAACAGCCCTATTCTACATTTGCTTACTAAGGCGTACTTCTATTCGGTTTGTCAAAGTGAATGCTAAATGCTGTAAGTTGTAATTACATTACTTTAGAAATGAAAACTTGAGAAGTCGCAGATCCACAAATGGAAACTGGAGACATTTTAATTCAGAACAAGTGAAATATGTGAACGATATTACATTATTACAAATGGTCTCCAGAATTCAACTTCTACCATACAATAAATCGCTTGATTCAGCTATGAAGCAATTTGTAGACGTGAATAAGCATAAACACTGAACACTTGTTTACAGGGTTCTCAAAATCCCACCATTGCAAAGCGTGAACTCTGACTACGCTTCATATTCTATTAGTGCTCACACTTAACACAAATGGTAACTTCAGGTAAGTCGAATTTCTAACCTTTTGTTTCTGCGAAAATTGCGGTGACGTAAAGAAAAACAAGATACACACTTAGTAAGCACCAGAGCTTGGATTTAAGAATTCTCATATATGAATCTTACCCTATCTAGCTATGCATCATTAAGAGTAATACAGACTAGCCACGCTGTAATTGTATCCGAAACTAAAACCACCAATTTAAACTGGACTATTCGCACACTTTTCAACGAAGTGCACTGTCGACATTTTTTGTCACTATTTATCAGCTAGAAAATATAAACCATCTGGTTTAATGAACAAGACTATACAAACAACATTTAATGCTACTAGATCTAACTGCGAAATAAACTATTTCCCCGAAACTATAAGAACAAATTTGTGTTAAAAAATAATTTATACTTTTGTTAAATCAGGAATATAAACATCAGATACAAACGTATATATAAAAGCATATATTATTGATTGGTTACTTTTAAGAGGAATAAATAATACTTTAGCGCTCAAAACAAAATGAGTAGTTTTGTGTTCATTTATCTATCTCAAAAGAATTGTTAAAATATCTTTTCACTTTGCACTATTACATAAACATTCTAATAACTTATTTCTATCAATCTGAAAAGATTGCCAATACGACACCATTTGTAAACCAGTATCAACATCATTATTATTACTATTATTAGAGTTGCTCCCAATCATCCCGTCCACTATTGACACGAAAGAAAAATTGGCCTATCGAATAAAAAGGAATAGCTAAATAAAATATAACAATCACCAAATCAACACATTAGAATTAATTTTACAAATAAATAAAGACAATTAAGACATGGCAGCAACTGAATCCATACATAAGCGAAATCATCACATATTCTTTACTCATTTAACTTCAAATGAACTTGGTTTCGTTGTATTAAATTTAAAAGCAAACAATCAAAAGACACATGAATGCTTAAAAGTCTTCCAGTATTTCCTTAAGTGTGCCTTGACTAGTGCTCTCTATTTTGTATTATAGAATATTCAATTTCCTTTTGCGGATGTTGAGACCTACTGCTGTAAAGGTAGTTGCAACACTGGCTGTCTTCACCTGCATTTGTTTTTGCACATGGGATAAAAGAACTAGATTATGTGTCAAGTTTCAACCACCTAGCTGCGTCCGAGGTTTCCACTGTATCCAGCGCTTTCCTTGAGATATGGAGTTCTTCATAATCCGTGCAACAGCCGGTGGAAACAGAAAAAGCTATAATAGTCAGTCTTTACTGACACCAGTCTTCACTTAGAATGCATCTGCGAGCTCCTCTCTATGCACAACTTTTCAGCTCAGTTTTTCATTAGTTTCATATAATAGTGACTATTTTCCCACGTACTCTTATGTCAAGGGAAACTCCTTAAGGTTTTTGACGCACGCTTTTGAATACTTTCTTATGATTTGGGTGTATAGTGATGAGTTCCATTCAATTGGTTGTTGAAAAACGATTCGCTGTGTCGCGATTTGGTCGGTATATGATCCATCCTTACGAAAGCCAGCTTGTTAATCTTGATATTGACCATCTACTGAATCTTTGATTCGGCTCGACAAACCTGTTGGTATTTGTTCTTCCTGTCAGATTTTTGTAAAAGAATGTGCAACATCTTCATAGTTCCCGCCGTATGTGAGTCTAAGGCCTCAGCTAGTATGTTGTTTGGTCGTCCTGTTTTGCCATTCTTGGTCCATCTGGTGGTCTTGGTGGTTTTATCTACTATTCGTGTGGTATCATCTATAAGGAGGTTTGTTGTGTTGCTTTGCTTTGATATTCGGTGAGTTCAATAACTGTTTCATTCATCAGCTCTTAAAATTTGCCTATCCATCTGTTTCGCTAGCCTTAAACCAGTAATTGGTTTGCCTTTTTCATCTTTGACTGCTTTACTGTACATCTCTCTGCTAGCTCCTTCGTTGTATCATGCAGTCTGTTGTGACGGGCGGTGTCCAAAATCGGATACTGATACACGGTGTATTATGCGCTAATACCCCTCAACTGATTGGGGGTACCGAATAAAATGCACAAATACTCATTCATAAATATACGATACTGATTTTCAGGAAATTAATACGATTTCTTTACCAGTGAAATGCACTTGTACTTTAGGTCACTTCAGGATTGCCGTCTAGTGACCTACTCAATAGGCTACTCCTGACTGCCTCTTCATATCGGCTTTCCCTCCTGGAAAATAAATCTTGCTCGTTGGATTTAACTGAAGACGTTGAGGGGATTATTAGATCATTAAATTCGACTGTACATTGTAATAAGTCTTGTTAATTTGGACGCTTTATTCGGTTCCTAAGCTATTCTGGTAACCCGCGAGCTAGAACTACGCAGCTACGTGAACTCAAGAGAAAAGGCGCAAAATAAGCAAAAAACACTTTACTACAAAGGTTCATTTTTGTACAGAAAAACATGGATATTTATAGATGTTAACATTTGTTAAATCAACATCATATTTTGACCAATCCGCTAAAAGACATTATGCTACGGACCAATAGTAGCACACCACGTTGATATTCTAGAAAGTCCCATCATGCTCTGATTGGCTAGGACTCTTCTGCTCCTTTAGGGCCTCTGGAGGCTCTGTTGCAGTTCTCGGAAAGCCGACTCAACATATTGTACATTCTAGAAATTGATATTGGGATGCCCGATGGATTATTTATGCAATCGATAGTAGGATGAATGCTACGTTTTGCAAGAAATCAAAGTAATATTGGATTCAGTGTATAACTGCAAAGTCATAATGCGTTCATTGACAATAATTGATGAACACTTGCATAAGCCTTTGAGGTTAGATTTCTACAATGCACTTACACAATTTATCAATTTTGGGTATCGACAGTGGGATGGGGGTTCACTGCGTTTGTTCGACCGTTATTGACTGCTGTTTTCTTGTTTTTCCTTTTCTGAATCGGGAGATATCACTGTTTTGAGACACACTTGGTTTTACTATGTGAAGTCATGACTCTTCTATATGAAGACTTTTCAATTCCCAGTGTAGAGTTAGGGTGGCTAAGATAATTTGTTCTGTTTAACGTGCTTTAAAGGAATTTTTTCTTACGTCGTAAAATTGCTAACCCAACACCTATCCGTTCTCGTTTACCAGGGTTTGGGACCAACAATAATCCCCGACCGAAGCTGCTACCTTGACGCGGTGGTTGGGCTTGCCTATCGTAATGACCCAACAGAGCTATATTGGCTGGAACATATGTTCCTGTAGGTTCTACCATGCCAGGCAGGTCGATTGGAGAACGGTAAGACTAAAAGCAGCAACTCAAGGTCTGAGGGCGAAGTCGTACTGCTGACTGTAGAGGGGTGTGACAGCAGTAAGGCGTTTCCCTCGAACAACCAGCATTTGCAGCGATGATGCCTTCCCACAAGGAGGGGTGGGGTTAGAAAAGGTCGACCTTAAAAATGTCACACCTCACTTTACCTCACGGATTTCCGTCTCCGGTGGTAAGGCCCTTTAAAGAACGGGGCTAACTCATTAAAAACCTTCCACAAAAGGGCCGTTTGCGACCGGCATCAAGCAGTTGTCTCTTGGGCTCTGCGGTCACGCTCCCAGGTCGTTAAGACCAACACTAATCCGACTTCTTTTTCAGGTTCCTCAAGAAATGCCCTTTCATGGTGTGGGCAGCCGGGAAGTGATATCAGCCCTCATACCCGTAACAACGCACGAAACCAAGTCGGTCACATTCAAATCCTGCCTACACCTAATACCTCTCTTATTTCCATGACTAACCCTCCCCACGTTTCTTTATCACCTCGCACCGGTAGGGCAAACGATTCGAGTACGCGGAACGCTATTCCTGGTTTCCTGAAACCACGCTCTAAACTACAAGTAGGAGCTTTTAACGTCCGAACACTGTGCCTGGTAGGACAACAGGCTTCCTTAGCTAGGACTTTAGAATCCCGCGCCATCGATGTGTGCTGCGTCTCCGAAACGCGCATACAGGATCCGAGTAGCGTCATTCATCTGACCTCATCATGCCAAAATAAAGAACCGACTCGATTCACACTTCGTGTATCTGGAAGCCCTGATGCTGCTTCTCGTGGCCTCGCCGGCGTAGGCATAGCATTGAGTCCTAGGACAGAACTAGCTCTCTTAGAGTGGATCCCAGTAGACAGTCGTTTGTGCGCTGTCCAACTAAACGGAACAGTAAGGATCCGAAAAGATAGGGACACTCGTCGTTGCCTCTTCATCTTCTCTGTCATGTTGGTAGGTGTAGACTACCTGGTTGGGGACCGCGAGATGATAACAACCGATGGTTAGAGACCCTGAATGACATGGCTCAAAATCGTTTGCAATGGCGCAGGTGCATCCACTCTCTATGTTCTTCCAAATTCTAATTATCTGAATTCTTCATGCCCCTTATTTTCCTCTTTCCAAATTTATTTCACTGGATTATACTCGTTAAATAACATCTCCAAACCCTAATCTTCCCGATTACTGCTTATACTCTTGCTACCTCTACCACTACGGGATTTGAATCGACCACTGTATCTCTGTGCTAATGTGGTATGGCAACTCGAACTAATGTACGTACGTACGAAGTTCTACGTTGTTACTGACTGACTGACTGACTTCGTCTTCTCTGCCTATTCTCGCACTAACTGCATCGCAGATGATGTAAAAGATGAGTTTTACAGGAAGCTTTCCGACCTTCTCCTAAAAGCTAGGCGCTCAGATGTAGTAATAATGGCCGGTGACTTTAATGCTCAAGTAGGTAAACTAAGCGATAGGGAAAGACACCTGGGTGGATCTTATAGCATCATGGCTAAAAGAACAGATAATGGCGACCGTCTGTTGCAGCTATGCTCAGATAACCTCCTCTTTCTCGCAAATACTAACTTTAAGCATAAGGAAAAACATCTTTTAACATGGAGACCCCCTAATTCGTCCCAGCGTTGGACTCAAATAGATCACATCGCTATCAGCCACCGATGGAGGGGCTCGATAGAAGACTGTCGCTCATTCTGGAGCACATGCTTAGATTCAGATCATGCTCTAGCACGAGCGCGTACCTGTATGCGTCTTACTGGACGTAGGAAAGACGCTGCAAGTAAACCTCTTAGGGCCCTACTTAATGATAGTCAAGCTAAGAGTATATTTCAGGAACAACTAGAAAAACAGTTAGGCAGCCATGTATGTGATGCCCACCCCGAGGCAAGCTGACAAGAAGTCTATGCAATGATCGTGAACAGTGGTGGGGAGCGAAAGCAAGAGAGATGGAAAAGGCAGCGGCAGTAGGTAATAGCAGACAATTTTTCAGACTTGTTAAGGAAACCGGTATTAGGAAACCGACTGTTAGCGAAACACTCTCAGAGAAAGATGAACATATTATACATTCTCAATCCAGGAGATTGGATCGATGGGCAGAACACTTCAGGGATCAGTTCAACTGGCACACGTTTAGACGCCCCACAACTGTAGTATTTCTCGACCTTAAGGCGGCATTCGACTCTGTTGATCGTAAGGTTCTATGGCAGTGTTTGTCACTGAAAGGAGTACCAAAGAAGTACATTAACCTTATTCAGGCTCTCTACTCGAACACAACTGGTATAGTGAGAGCTTATGGCGAACTGTCATCAGAATTGAATACCTCAAGTGGTGTTCGTCAGGGCTGTTCACTCTCTCCTTTCTTGTTTAACTTTGTCGTTGACGTGCTTTTAGAGATGACAATTTCCTCATCCAAATTTCCAGGGGTTGAACTTCTACCGGGAGGTTCACTTGTTGACTTGGAATATGCCGATGACATAGTTCTATTTGGTGAAGACGCTGGCAAAATGCAGAGTCTTCTATCACTTTAAGCAACAATGCAAGGATGTTTGGGATTCGATTTCCCCTCCCATCGAAATGAAAAACGTTGCTTCAGGATTGGGTTGCGTCGAACTGATGTACGTACATGCGAAGTTCTACGTTGTTACTGACTGACTGACTGACTGATCAACAATAATCCTAGAGGATATCCAGGTGAATGTCTGGGATTTCTAAACATGTAAACATACTTATAACATTCAATTTGTTTTCTATTGTAATTCCATCCTATTCACATTTGTAAAAGTTGATTTCGATTCTGCTGTAGTCGTTGGATATTTGTTTATTGTAAGTTTCCATACTTTGTGTTCTTTATTCTCCTTTTCATAATGTTTGCCATTATAATTTCGACTCAGCTGTCATACACAACTTATCGTATGTTCATATGAATAACTTTCCAAATCCGTTTTGGGAAGCATACTTCTTTGGTTGTACGCAAACTCGGTAGATATCGTGAACAAATTGACGTTCGTACTGCGTTTCATACATATAGGCAATAACAGTACAATAATTGTAGACAATCTTCTCACGGATTTTACGCGTCACTCAATCACATGATTGTTAACTTCGATCCTATGGGTAGGAACTTTGATATTCCTAGGGTTACACACACGACCAATCAACTATCTCATAATAAAAATAAATTTGTCATGGAAGCTGGCACACACTATCATTAACTATTGTTCTTCTGGTTGCTGTGTCGATGTTTCGTTCACTGATGAAATCCCCCGACGATAATTTCAAACAACCCGAAATTTAAAACTTAACGCGTTAGTTTACTCTAACGGAACACTGTTCGCATTATTCAGACACCTTTATGTCATTTTTTATTGCATAATTTGACACAAAGAAACTATAAACCACAACAAGTATGTCAGTAAACATCATTATGTATGGTTTGTTTCGTAATTTTGCCACACACTAGCCAAACAACATGGAAATTCGAAGTAACCACTAGCCAAGATAATAAACAATATGTAAATTGTAAAGTAATCATGGCCAAAACATAATGCCTAGCTTTATCATATTATCTGAGTTCGAAACTTACATTCTATGTTACGTTAATAAAATCCCTTTAAAGTAAAATGAAACATTGAACTAAATCAATAACACTCAAGAAATCCTTCCAAAAACCCAAGTAAATTTTAACAGATCTATCCGATATCTTTATTCACTTTGAATCCAGCCATCGACGAAATTCCGAAAACAGATTTGAAGGAAGCAGATGAGACAAACATGTTAACTGACGAAAGTAACAAGTGCTAAATGAAGTAAATCGTACATTTCGTTATTTTCTCAATTTAGCTAGCGGCACATCCTAAAAACACTAAAGAGTTGAATTATATAAGACTGATTAGTATCTGACTACTTATGTTGTGGTTAACATTCATTGGTATAAGGGTTTCATCAAATAAATTCCAAACACGTGATTATACATCAGACTTGCAAAAGCATATAACATCATTTATTCAAAGGTAACTAACTAGATGAACAAGATCCCGGTTCGTCGTTACGATATTCATTGCCAAAAAGCACCTAACTTATCGAAATAATTCATGTACTATCAGAGAACCAACTATACATCATGGTGTTTTGTTTTAATACGTTATAAGTTTATCATTCTTACAGATAACATAGATTACCTGAAGGACCAAGTTATATACGTGAATTGATCATCACTTTGGTCCTACAATTTAGCTCTTGTTTTAAACTAATAAACGTTAATGGATGATAACTAACAAGAGACAAATCTAAAACATTTCAATAGCTGATTTTCTAATATCTAACGCCTATCGCGGTTTATTCATTTTATGTCATAAAGTACAAGATGTTTACTATAACCGATCATCACGACTAGTCACTGGTGCGACCCTGACCAATAAGCGGTTATATGAAATAAATTTTAAATTACGTTTGCTAGCCTCAATAACGTGCTATAAGATGTCAACTATAACCGAGTGTCGGATATAATTAGCAACTAATTCCTGTGCAGAAGCATATGATTTAAGAATATTGCATGATTGTAAAGAATTGATCAGCCAGGTATATTGTGTTTAAGATTTTCCGCCGTTAGAATTGTAAAAAGTATGATTTACAATAATAAATCGATGAGAACAGTTTTATCATACTTATCATCATCAACGTCAGAAAAAATAATAATAATCAAACACAGATGTAGACTTACATTGTGTTTCCCACACTTCTTAAATTCGGAGTTACAAGCGACATTAGAACTCGTTCGATTTCTAATCAAAAACAGCAGAATGTTAATCGTTATGACTGCAAAAAATTATATTGGTGAGATACAAATCCATATTACTAATGTTTGCTTGTTTTACTCTGTAGAAAAAATAGTTGGATATTTAGGTTGTTTTAATCTGTCGGAAGCGTCGTGATATTTCAATACATTGTGGTAGTTAACGCTTGGATTCAGGATACTCACTATACTACGGACAGCTGGTCATCCAGATGTACTTAGATTCGACAGTTTCGCGAAACAAAGCATTTATAACTAGAATAAATAGTGCGCTTTATTTTAAGTAGTCAGTCAGCAACAACGTAGAACCAGGCACATATATGCATCGGTCCAGGTTGCCATACCTCATTAGCACAGCAAGATGAACACCGGATTCATAGGAGTGGTTAGGTTAAAGGTGGTAATATATAGGAGAAAGATTGCATATAAGGATACAGTACCGGAATATAGAATTAGTTCGTACAAAGAAAGATATGAAGCGATTTTAATCTCTTAGTTTAAGGGAAGACAGGGAGTGTATACACCGACACCATTGTGACCGATTCTGAACCATGTCACCAAGAGTCTCTAACCATTGGTTACGAGAGTCACGCGGACCCCAACCAAGTAGTCTGCACCTACTAATATGGCTCAGACTAGAGGTTAGTGTCTTCAAGCACTGATGCCACGTTTTGCTTTGGCAGCCCCTAATTCTCTTCCAACCATCTCTAACACCCGTCAGCATTGCACGACGTGGTAATCGGTGTTCAGGCATACGTAACACATGGCCCAACCATCTCAATCGATGAAGATTAACAACCTCATCAACTGACTTACCATCATTACCTAATACCCTGAGTCTAACCTCACTATTACTTACCAGGTGATCCCAACAGACGCCAGAAATATTTCTAAGGCATCTGTGGTCAAATACTAGTAGCTTACAGGTGTCTTCTACTCTTAAAGGCCATGTTTCGCTGCCGTAAAGTAAGACAGAACGGACTGCCGCGCAGTATACTCGTCCTTTTATTGATAGACGGATATCTCGCCTTCGCCAAAGGTGATGTAAGTTGGCAAAAGCCAAACGAGCTTTTCGAATCCGCGCTGAGATTTCGTCCGATACCAGCCAATTAGGGCTGATCAGACTTCCAAGATAAGTGAAGTTGTCGACGCGTTCGACCACTTCACTCCCTATCCTTAGTTCAGGTGTTGACGAAGACCAGTCCTGAAACAACAACTTGCATTTAGAGGGAGAGAAGCGCATTCCAAACATTCTGGCATTGTTGCTTAGTGCTACCAAAAGACTCTGCATTTTATCAGCGTGGGCAGCCTTGACGGACACCACTTGAGGTTGCAAAAGTAGATGACAGTTCGCCATAAGCTCTGACTCGACTAGTAGTGTTCGAGTAAAGAGCCTTCACAAGGTTTATGTACTTCTGGGGTACGCCTTTCAATGACAGACACTGCCACAGAATCTCGCGGTCTACCGAGTCAAATGCTGCTTTTAAGTCAAGAAAGACCACCACTGTCGGACGCCGATAAGCATGCCTGTGTTCTAGAACCTGACGAATGGTGAATGTGGTCGATGCAGCCACGACCAGGTCTGAAGCCAGCTTGGTTTTCTCGTGTTTGCAGTTCACGAGTCTTAGTTAGGCGTCTGATTATTATTAAGGCTAGTATTTTAGATACTATATTTGTTAAACTAATCCCTCTGTAGTTGTCACAAGATGATTTTGATCCTTACTTATATATTGGGACGATAAGTGATTGCGACTGGTCAGATGGAATAACATCTAACTCCCAGATTTTAGCTAAAATATTAGTCAACCTAATTGCTAAGATCGGACCATCATCCTTAAAGATCTCTGGAGCCAATCCATCTGGACAAGCTGCCCTTTCTCGTTTCAGATTAACTATAGCCTTTTGAACTTCTGCTAGAGTTGGGGGACCTACTTCAATGTTCCATTCACACTGTCTGGGAATGGATGGTAGTTGTAGAGTCGCTGAAGGCCAGCTGAAGTGTTCCCTGAAGTGTTCCGCCCATCGTTCTAAACGTCTGCACTGGGAGTAGATGAGAGTATCGTCTTTTTCCGAAATAGTCTGACTTACACTTGACCTATTAATTCCAGTTTCCTTTATTAGTCTGTAGAGCTGTCTTGTGTTCCCTATAGCCGCCGCCTTTTCCATCTCTTTTGCTTTCGTTGCCCACCACTGCTCACGGTCGTTCCTTAGACTTTTGTTTAACCTAGATCTGATTTGTTGTCGCTCTTCATCGTGATCAGAGCCTGATGGAATGAGTTTACGAGAACCCATCAGTGCAATAGACCTTGAGTAAATCCATTGATTATTTGTAACTTTGTGGTTTAAATCACTGATAGATTTCAATGCTGTTTCTACAGCTGTTTGTATATCTTTCCGAGCAACATCTGGGTCAACCTCGTTTTCAGAACTACCTAAGTGTGACCTCAGTTATTCCTGGAACCTACTTTTGGTTTTCTCGCTACTCAATCCAGTTCTAATGGGTCTTTTTACTGAGGCTTTTTTGCGTCCAGTGAGGAGCAAGCAGATGCGTGCCCGTATTAGGGCATGGTCGGAGTCCAAGCAGGTACTCCAGAATGACCGACAATCTTCTACCGATCCTCTCCAACGATGACTGATGGCAATATGGTCTATTTGAGTCCATCGTTGGTTTGGTGTAGGGGGTCGCCATGTTAGACGATGTCTTACCTTATGCTTAAAATGTGTTTGCTAAAAATAAATGATTGTCTGAGCATAGTTGCAGCAGACGATCACCATTATCTGTTCGCTGTATCAGAATATTAAAATATCCCCCTAAATGCCTTTCTGTTTGGTTTAAACTACCTATCTGAGCATTAAAGTCACCCCCTACGAGTACTATATCTGAGCGTTTAGCTTTCTGAAGAAGTTCAGAGAGCTTTCTGTAAAATTCATCTTTCATTTCATCTGAGCTGCAGTCATTGGGAGCGTAGGCAGAAACGACAAAAAGGCAACGACGTGTGTCCCTATCCTTCCGAGTTCTTACGGAGCCGTTTAGCGGGACAGCACATAGACGACTGTTGACGGGGATCTAATCTAACAGTGCTTGTTCCGCCCTCATGCTTAGTGCTATCCCTACTCCTGCCAGTCCACGAGAGCTGGCCATCAGGTCACCAGATACACAGAGGGTGTATCTCGTTGGCTCTCTGTTTTGCCGAGGTGAGGTCAAGTGAATAATCATACTGGAGTCCTGTATGCGTGTTTCGGAGACACAGCATACATCAATGGTACGAGATTCTAGGGTTTTAGCCAAGGAAGGCTGCTGACCGATTTGACATAGAGTGCGTACATTGAAAGCTCCAATGTGTAGTTTGGAGCGAGGTTTCAGTAGACATGGGACTGTTTTGAGCACTAGAATCGTTGCCTATGGTGACACTTGAGGGGGAAGCCGAAAAAATAAGTTTAGAGTTTGAAGTTGATGTAGTAGGAATAATAGGAATTGAAGAGGGAGGTTGATTATGAATCCAGTGGTCTTGAGTGCTGTTAGAGGTATGAGGGCGGTTATCACTTCCCGGTTGCCCACACCGTGGAAGGGTTCTTCTGGAGGTACCTGAAAAGGAAATCGGATTCGAAGTGGTTTCAGTGACCTGGGAGCGTGACCGCAGTGCCCAAGGGACAACTGCTTGAGGTCGGTCACACACGACCTTTTTATGGGCAATTTTTGTGTTAGCTCCGTACTTGTTGAGACCTTACCGCCGGAGACGGATATCCGTGGGATAAGGCGAGGTGTGCATTTTTAGGGTCGACCTTTTCTAACCCCACCCCTCCTTGTGGGAAGGCAGCATCGCTGTCATGCTGGTTGTCTGAAGGAAACACCTTACTGCTATCACACCTCTGTACAGTCAGCAGTACGACTTCGCCTTCGGACCTTGGGTTTGTTGCTTTTAGTCTTACCACTGTTCAACCGACCTTTCTGACGTGGTAAGACCTTGAGGAACAGTTGTTCCAGCCAGTATAGCTCGGTTGCTTTCTCACGATAGGCAAGCCCGACCACTACGTCAAGGTAGCAACAACGGTCGGGTTATTTCAAGTAAGCATAAGATAAAGAGATAGATAATGATTATATAAAACATTTTGCTTTCTGAATGTAAACTACTAAACTTTACCACGCTTCAACTTATTTTGTATAATGAAATATAAATTTGAGTAAAGAACTTCGCGAAATTTTCGTCGCTCGAATCGAATGTATAGTGTATATGACTCAAATTCGCGTCACTGTACAAAGTCTTACACTAGTTATTGGAACTGTGGGACACGGAATTTTTCCCGTTTCTGCCCATTCAATGAACATAAATGCGTAAAATATGGAGTAACTGACCATAAGGAGGGATCCAGATGATCTCATTGTTTATGGTTCTGATAAGGTAGTTCATGACCAGAGACTTATTAACGGAAAATCTACGGTGCGAAGTCTATATATCAATGACTTAAGTATACACAACTGCTGGTGAAAACACACACTGTATCAGAAGCCTCTGTAGCAGTAGACCTCAACATACACAAGAGATAAAGAAAGATCCTGAAATCCAACACAGAACACCAACCCAATCTCACTTTATATAAAGCTCTGGAAGATGTAGAATCTCTCACGTACCTGGACAGAATCGTCGATAAACAAAGGGGATCTGATACATGTGTGCGGGCACGCATTGGCAAAGCAAGGACAGCATTCCTACAGTTGAAGAACATATGGAACTCAAAACAACTGTCAACCAATATCGAAGTCAGAATCTTCAATACGAACGTCGAGACAGTTCTACTGTATGGAGCTGAAACGTGGAGAACAACCACAATCATCGACAAAAATATACAAGTATTTATAAACAGTTTTCTACGCAGGATATTCAATGTCCGTTGGCCTGACACCACAGCGACAGCCTACAGCAGGAGAGGACATACCAGCTTCCAACTGAAGAAAATATAAACAAAAGACGCTGGGGGTGGGTAGGACACACTGTGGAAATCACCAAACTGCATCACAAGGCAAGCCCTAACTTGGAACCCTGTAGGCAAAGGGAAAGGTCGAAGAACACACTGCTCAGAGAATTGGAGACAGACATCAAAAGAATGAATAGTAATGGGAGACAACAAAATAGGATTGCCTGGGTCAGAGTCCGATGGAGAATCCGGGTAGGTGGCCTATGCTCCTCTACGATGGGTAACAGGCAATTTTCAGGGCAATCACAATACTTAGATTTTGTTAACAATGCGGAAATCTTTTCTAATTCAATTTTACGCATGAGCTGTAGCTTTTAATGATTGGTTGTTATTACTTCTAGTCAGCTAAATTTCTATATGTTTGAAGGTCATGTTATTGTAACTATACATTTACGGAGTTGTCTATTTGTTTTGCGATACTTCTCCTACCTTAAATATCAGGTTTCCCTATCTATGCGTTAGCTGTCGGATGTTGTTTGTAAAGTGCTGTTATCGTCCACGAAACGAACTGACGATATTCGGGTACGTAACTCTCCAAGTATTGTAGGCCAATACTAAACTCCAATAACGAGATACAACATTTACTATTATTACCATTATTATTTGATTATTATTATCATTACGTTAAACGAGGTGATGACGTATATCTGATAGATCCATTGGCATTATAAACAGAATGTGCACAGAATTTTGATAGTAATCGGACGACTAGCATTTTTCTGTTTGATTAGGAAAAAGAGTTCTCAAACTAAAACAATTAACTTAATGCCAGTTGACCTGCAGTAAATTTTATACGTTGCTTTGTGGTGAATTTCATGTATTTAAGTTGTCAGACGGGGCCGTAGTATAGTCTGACCAAAATAATCAAAAACGATAGCTTTAAACAACCCAGTTAAGATAATTGTTAATTTCAGTAACATGATAATAACAATATGAGCTGTATTACCTTGATTTTTCGCCAGTTTTTCCATCCTCAGATAAAGATTGATTGGGACTTTTTGACGTGTTTGATTTCTTATTCTTTTTTTGCTTCTTAGACGGGGTACTGGTTGTATTCACTTTCATATTTGACAGACTGTTTATTGCATTGTGTTGAAGATTAACAGAATAATTCATAGAATTACTACAAAGGCGTTCTGATTCAGATAACGCTAAACCAGGTGGTTTGCCTGACAGTCGTTGTTCTACGTACAGTTTCAGTTGCCTATAGTTAAGTTATAAAAATAAATAAGTGTATCATAAACTCTCTAAATGCAATGACAATAATAAACTTGTTCGCTCACTTTAACCACTTCTTGAGTTCGTGTATGTAATGCGACGGTTATAGATGACAGAACAATAAAGTGTTAGGGCAAAGCTAGAGAAAATTAGATCAAGATGATTGAGTTGGTATTGTGAGGTCACTAACTACTTGGTAATAGTTGTGCTGTAAAATGAAGACTTAGTGGTCCACGTCTAAAGATTTCAGGTGATAATTGGTCGTTGTGACACAAAAAATAATTATTCTTTATCTTCCTCTAGTTTTTCTCTCCCACAGTTTCTTTAGTTCTTCCATATTGTTGAGACCATTATTTTTAAACACATTGTCCCACTGAGAATACTGAATCTAATTGAACTTTGGGACGACAAAGGTCGCACAGAGTCACGTCAAACATGTGACTAAAAAAACATGCCTAAATATAAACTACAAAGTTTGATCTAACCTTAACAGAAGTTGTAATTCAATATTTGTATTCCATATAGGTTTTTATGATTGCTAGAGTACATGTGATACGGAGCATTTACGCTGGCTAGAAATGGATTCAAAGAACATTTATGGGACATTGTACAGCAAATACAAACGCCAGTAATTTGGAGATATATATTCCCACTATTGAACTTGTCACAAAAAAGAAAGGACCGCTATCGCTAAGCGGAGTAGCATTCCAAGTTCACAGAGTTCTTACAATACTTACACCTTGGTAACAAAATTCAACTTGATAAATAAGAACTTTCGTCTAAATTTGAACGAATAGTTTCACAATATTTGGGCGCCGAGTCAATGTGAGACATTAAAAAGAAGAATATATTTGTAAAATCTCAGCGAAAATTCAACTTGATTTGAATTGTCATGAAAAAAAGCCTGGCTGGATAACTATTGTAATGAAATGTAGTTAGTTATGTGCTCTAGTGTAGCATGAAGTAAACATAGAAATTAGTGAAGTGCAGTTGAAACGTGACTAACAACTAGGCTTCATTGCATAGTTTGTAGAGCACCTGACCGGTAAGTGAAGGACCACTGGTTACAATGCTATCCAGACCCTGGTGTTTGGATTTACAGAATTATCCTTATTAGTAATATCCAGCTTGGCAATTAAAGTTATCTTAGATAGCCTAATCCATAAGATAAGAACCTAGCACTGTTTAAATACAAATTAAATTGTTCCATTTTCCCATCAAATGATGAATAACAACCCAATAAAAAATGTTCATCAATATTTTGCTCAGTTTTTTAAAATCTAAATAGAGAATGGGAAAGGGAGGACATACTTGGTGAAAAGGAAGTGGGAGTACTAAAAAATTAAAACTTTCAATGTACGGTTCTTTGTTAAAAAGCGACTTTTGAAAATGATGAACTAGTCTAGTTCAGAAACAGAAGGAACAAGAGGAAGTGCCTAATAACAATAAACAGATTCTGACTGAAAAGATTGTGCTCCGACACAAGTCAGTTTACTCGCTTTCCATCATAAGCAAATCATTATGTTTATGTATGCAGGCAGATTGACCTCATGGTACCTAAACGGTAAGCTCCACTTATCTCTCTCTGTTAATGAACAAACTTGTTTGTGGTGTGGACAGTAACTATGTTTCAGTAATAAGAGGAGCAATGTCTTAGTGAGTAAAGGATTCAACTTTAAACTAATGAGTTGCAGTTTCGAACACCGCCCAAGTTTGGACATTGAATTAGTGCCACAATACGCCTACATAAACCCATAATACGTAAGAGTCAACATACAATTCTAGTAATTTTCTTTTCAATAATGACGTTATTGGAATCATAACTTCCGGATAAACAAGCACGAATGAAAAGATTACTTTACATAGGTTAAATGGAATAAGTATATCAGTTACTGCATAGAATAAGACTAATGGGGATGATTATAAAAACCAAATCAATAAAAAATAGTATAAAAATGAGACATACATCGTCGTAATTATAAAAATTCTTTTTTTATTGCATTAATATGAAGTGAATCACATACTTTCAAGTATGTTAAATGTGAAAAATCACGAAATTACATTGTAAAGTGGAAAACAAGTTACATAAAATTTAGGAGCATTAATAGTTCTCAAAACCGACTAAAATGCACCTTTGCACACGAATAATGACTAACAATATAGCTTTATTATTGTTTGCTTGCTGACCAAACAGCAATATGATGTGTAAATAAAGCTCATTATTATGTATTTATTTGAACACAAAGATATTGGTACAAAGAGGCACCAAATACATATGCGCCACACAAATCTCATTTGATTTGTGCGAAGGCTGTGATACTGCCCGGGTGCCCAAACCGAAACAGGTGGTTTCCTTAGGGGGCCACACCGGAGCCTTCGACCTACAGGTCTGATCCACAAGGCAGTGAAGCAACGCAAGGATATGCAGCCCCACGATTGGTTCATACGCCGTTTGTTCACTCAGGATACTAGAGCCCATGTGCACCATTGGTTTGGAATCAGGGTTTTCCAACTCCTCTAGGTGGACCGTGTCCACCAACCCGGTTAAAGCGCCGGACATTCGCTTTTCGTCCTTTTAACTTCGTAAACACCCCCGCCACGAAAAGGCAGTGACTAGTAATTTCCTGGTAGAGGCTATATACGCGTAGTCATGTGAGAGCATTTCAAGAGCGAGACCAGTCTTCCCACCCTCGACTGTACTAAAGCACTGGAGGCCGATCAGAATGCTCTAACACAATCCTGCACTGAACATGTTTTAATCCAATCCCTATTCCGCTAACACGTACGTGTGCTGGGATGATCCTCTAGCTCCCGAACAGTAGATGGTTTTTCTAAGAGCCCACTCTTTTAGCCTTTGATCCACAAGGTGGCAGAGCAATGTGTCACGGTAACCAATGACCGAAATAGGCCAGCATTTCATTTTTCGTCTCATGATCGTCGAGTTCATGTATGCTATTGGTTTGGGGTCAGGGTTTTCCTACTGTCCTGGTTGAACCGTCCGTATGAACTAACCCAGTTTAAGCTTTGGATGTTCGCTGTTAGAAATCTCACTTCCGTAAAAACATCTAAATGTGAAGGCTGTAATACTTTTCTAACAAAGGACATAAGCGTGTGATCTTGTGAAAGCGTTTCGAAAGAAAGCAGAGTTTCCCTATTCTCGGTAGTACTACACAATTCAGGTGAGGTGGTTACTTTGTCACAAGGAACCGAAGTTATGGTTAGATTTTATCGAACAATTTCGGTTAACGGATGAAGGAACGTAATATCTGCTGGTCAGCAAACGATATTACTACTAGAAAAAAAACTGTGGCTGTCTATAAGGAAAAAACTAAGATATTTAGATGCATTAAAGCCAATATAGAGTACTACATAAATTTAGCTTCACCCACAGAATTGCAAGAGTAATAACTAAGAAAGTTTTTGGAAAAACACCGCGAATTACAGTGACTACAATTTTGACCAGTAAGGCCCCGATTCCGAAAATACATTTCACTAGCTTGTTATGTTTTCTTACGACAATAACACGTAACCCACTCCTGTTAACATAAAAGACAGGATGCACATATCAAATCCCAAAACCTTTAATCAGAACACTAGAAAGCAGATAAGCGATTATTTTGATCTATAACTGAACATACAGATACAAAACGAGATGACATTGAATTACAATATGTACCCAGCCAGAATATTTTACTAAAAACCTATGTAATGAATTTACAGTTTATTACGCGTAGATTTATGAAAGTAAAGATATATCGATAATTAGCCCGTTGAAACGTCTACTGGTAGGATCATATGGAAATACAATAAATCAACTATTTGATTGATACTTCTCGAGATTTAAGCATATATATCATAAAACAATTAGTTAATTATCGTGTTTTCCTTTTTTCCTTTTAAAAGTTCGAAATTATCACCATGGTTTATGAAAAAAAAACTAAAAGATCTGAACTGTAGAAAAGGCATTATCCATGATAGTTGGGATTTAATTTGACAATTTTACGGATCTAACTATGACACATGCAGACCAGCGAAAACCGACACATCAAAAAGTGTCACTGAAATAGGTTGTTTATTTTATTTATTTATTTTAACGCATAGATATTGGTACAATGAGGCACCAAATACATATGCGCCATACAGATCTCATTTGATATCTGTGAGGGCTGTGATACTGCTCGGGTGTCCAAACCGAAGAAGGTCTGAAATAGATCTGTATATTTAGGTCTTTTTGGGATGGTCTAGGAAAATTATACATTATCTACTTTCACCAGCTAGTCCTAAGTTTAAATTCTTTTTACCCTCCTTTAGCACAAACACCAGTTTCCGCAGTTTAAATAATAAAGGGTCCAAAGATGAGGCTGAAGTGTGTCTAACATCTAAATAAACAATATGACAACTCAAGCATTTTTCATTCCTGACAGTTCTCTTTCATACGGTGTAATAGCGACGAACCATAGTAAAAAAGTGACTTGGTGATATATTCATTTGAATTTTATGTAATAGAGGAGCTGAAACTCGCTCAACTTGTTTCGATTTGGTAGCCAAGATAAACACAAATCCAAGCTAGAAGCCGTTTACAGTTTATCACATCTACCTTACTAGGCAGTGAGGTTTCAAGCAGCCAAAAGTTTCATAAGAGGAAAAAAGGAATTACAGGAGAATCGTTTGGGAGGTTATGTATATACATATAACAAGTGAAACGCTTACCGAATAAATGGGATCACCAGGTAGAAGTTGTTCGGTCTTGAATTCAATTTTTCCATAGTAGCAATATCTTGGATATGTGTTGGCAAATCAGCAATTCCAAACCAAGTTATAGCTTCAATCTCGTTTTTTGTACCAGGCTTCAATCGAGAAGTCCTGGGAAGTCCTTCAACAATGAATGCTCGTCTTAAAGTACCACCAATATAACGATCAATATAGAGGGACGGTAAGATACGATTTGCTAAGTCCAAACCCGTTTCTTCCATTACCTATAGAAAAATACCTAAAAATTTATGTCACTTACTTCACGAGAAGCACAATCAACAAGAGATTCATCTTGATTAATTTTGCCACCAGGTAGGCTCCAACGATTGCCATAAAATCCTTGGACTAACAAGATCTAGGAATTAAATCAATAAAAAGCTTTTTTACCATCTTGTAATGTTCGTCAATAATTATCATGCTCCCAGTAGCTGTGGACCCACGGTATTTCTTCCATTCGACAAACTTTTCTTGCCAGTTTATACCCCGGGGGACAATAGAAGGAAACTTCTCAAATACTAAAAGATTATGTATTATGAAGCTGAAAAACTACACTGTTGAGTTAGTCCGAACATATCAACACCACCAACTGAAGGATCTTCAATACAATAATCGACGTAAAACCAATGAGCCCGCTCAACTTCAAAAAAAATTCTTACGAAATTCTTCGCACAATCTTCTTTCAACTCATCGGGAATATTAAGAAGAAATCGTCTACAGGGTCGAAAAGGTGACAGTAAGAGGGTACTTACGTGTACAAATGTAATAAGATGTTATCTGGCACAATATGTAAAGGTTCCTGGGCCATCATTGGTTTATATCTAAAGGAGTAATACCAAAAAATGTCAGAATCTTTCAATGATAAAAGAAAATTTAATATGTCTACTTTTCATGCACCTAATCACATTGTTACACCCCAACTATTCAGCTGTCCCACAAACGCAAGGTATTAAAGGATGACAAAGTCAAATCATTCAAATTTTAACAATATATTACGGTTAGTGAAACATTGACATGAAAAATACGACTTCCCACAAACTTTAACTGCTCTATAGGTAGGGCAAAATAATAATAAAAAACAAGCTGTTCACTGGCTTAGGCGGGAAGTTAGTATCACGTAGCATATCGCAGCTGCAGTAGATAAGTAGTGGTATGTTGTAATTGTACGGTAATACAACAAATTTTCATTAAGCTAATAAATTACTCAAGTAAGAAGGCAATGACAGATATATTTCTATAGTCCTCTTTATAAACCAATAAACCCCTGCTATGATATTAAAATCTATTATTCGGTGAGACTGTAATTTATGGACGAACCAGTCAGATATAAGATAACGAAACTTGAATTTTGGCGAGAAATTCATTCACACATTTGGTCAAATAGCCTTTCGGCGTTATAGCTGATGTCAGTTCGTGATGAAAACCCTAAATCTAATTCCTAACCCTTTAGCGTCGCTCAAAGGTCGTACATAAATTATAGTCTCACCCAAAAATTTTGTAGAATAAGGGCAATTGTTTCAGATTTGTGTATTAAGGACAAAAGGCCCGCGGCCTATGTTATTTCTAGTATGCTTCTGTGAGTGTCCAGTCTTCTCTTGAAAGAGTCAATTGAAGGTGCGGACACCACTGCTTCGGGCAGCAGGTTCCAAATATTGATGACTCGGTGTGAAAACCTGTTTGCTACGGGGATTTTGTTCGTTCTTGGCTTTTCTATTCGCCTGCTATGTCCTCTGAGATGTCCCAATATAGTGGGAAGAAAGAAACAGAATAAGTTAGGTCCATAATCATTTTTCATTATTCTGTGCATCAAAATCAGATCTCCCCTTAGTCTGCGATAGGACAAAGTAAAGAGGACCAGCATTTCAAGCCGTTCTTTGTATGGTAAACCGCAGAGTACTGGAATTTCACAGGTAGCTGCCCTCTGTATCTAACTTAGTGAATGTTCGTTTTAAAGCCGAGAGGTTTCTAAACCCCTCGGCTGAGACCTACCGGCAATGGGCCGTCATCTTAAGATCATGACTCATTGTCACCCCTAGATCCTTATGAGACCGGATCACGGGTACTGGCACTTACCCTATGCTGTACCTATTAACCTTTGTATCCCCAAAGTGCATGTAGACACACTTTGCCGCGTCGATAGGCATCAGCCACTCTTCAGACTAGTTAATCATATCATTTAAGTCTGCCTGAAGAGCCCATGCGTATGTGTCTCCAGTTATTACTCACCAGATTTTCACATCGTCAGCGTATAATAACATTGGGGACTGAAATAAAATTGGGAGATCATTTACATACAGCATAAAAAGTAAAGGACCCAGGACGGAACCTTGAGGTACTCCACTAAGTACTGGGCTCCAAATGGAGCACGTGGAATTTATTCTTACTTTCTGTTTAGGACCTACTAGGAAATCCTTAAGCCATTTTAAAAGATGTCCAACAATACCAAGATTCCCTAACTTCAATTGCAGTCTATTAGTTGGCACCTTGTCAGAAACCTTACTGAAGTCTATGTCCAGCGCCCTTATCCCGAATTCCCTTGCTATAAGGAGGTTCGTTGTACAAGATGAGCCCCTTGAACGCTTTTAGTCAAAAATCACCACATAGATTCAAACGAATGTGTTTACTAACAAATAACTTGTCTTCTTAAACACTTAGACACTGTGGAGCAAATGGCTTATGAGTCAGACAGTAGGAAAGTTCCTGTATGAAACTAGTTTCCTTGCAATTGTTGAACCGAGACAGAGTAATTCTCGAATTATCTGCCTGTAACAGGTTCGTAAACCAACCTTATCAACCGTACATTGTATTAGCCAGGTAGTATTCAATTTCCCAATCTCCCAAATTCTTAGAACATTGAAGATCTTGAGGGAAACCGGTGAATCAATGTACGAACCAACATGTTCCCGCCCCCAAATTTGTTGGGCGGATGACTACATATGATTCTCGTATTAGAGTTGACGTAACTAAGATAAAAAAAACCCGGAAATAATCTAGAATCTGCAGAAGTAAAGTCATTGATCAGCCTTGAACTAAGTTTCCGTCAGCGAACGCTTTAATATTAAAAGGTAAAACGATGATAACTAATAAACGAATTACCATGTATTCTGAGAAATAATGCACGAAATACCAGGATGGCAACGCTTCAAAGGTACCGTTCACTGATGGAGGTTGCGAGCACTTGAAGGTCAAACTGTCGCAATATGATTGGTGCATCACATCGACAATTCGTGAAAATTTTCAGAAACGGTCAAATCAAGACATTTTCAGATTTGAATTGAGTTCGGCCACACCATGTCTGGTAACGTTCATTCCTCAAATAACGAAGACGATACCATCGTGATGATGCATGATATAGGACGAATCTTCAGCGGCCTGCTTGAGCATCTCAGTTTCAGTTTGGGAAGAACAGGAGGCTCAATGGCCTATGTTAGTCCTGGTAATGGTGGTCTCTCAGTTGATCCAACTTTCTTTTGAAAGAGTCGACGGATGGAGCCTCAACCACGTGTTGAGGTAGTGAATTGCACTCGTTGATGATTCGATGGGAAAGTCGATAGTCAGCTGACAAGTAATTTGTTCTCGGCTTATGAACTTTTTTGGAGTGTCCTCGTAAATTCTCTGTTTTGGAAGACAGGAAAAATGAGGGCATATCAGGTGCAAATTTATCACTAAGCAATTTGCAAACTGTAATCACGTCGCTCCTAGTTGTGTGATATGACAACGGGAAAAGGTTCAGCTTGGCCAGTCGAGATTCATACGGAAGCTTCGCTATTCCGGGAATCAGCTTAGTCGCCATTCTCTGAACCCTTTCCAGAAGTTCACTGTTTTTTTTAAGCAGGGGCTAGCCGCTTGTATGCAGTACTCAAGTTTAGGACGAACGAACTCTGTATACAAAGTCAAAAACGTCTTGGCGTCGACATGACTAAAAGCCCTACGTATTGACCATAAGGTTCTAAAACCTTTGGAGGCTGTTGCATGGCAGTGTGCGATAGTCTTTAAGTCTTCACTAACGATAACTCCTAAGTCGTTACGTGTCTGGACGACAGGTAGCTCAGTGTTATTCATCGTGTATGTATCTGCGCCTTGATGACCGATATGCATCACAACACAATTGGAAGCATTTATCGGCAACTGCCAGGTTTGAGACCATTCAGATAACTTCTTCAGGTCATTTTGATGTTCTAAGCTATCACTCTTACATCGTATGGTTTTCCATATCTTGACATCATCAGCATATAGCAAGACCGATGATGATAGGAGACAAGGAAGGTCATTAACATACAAGAGGAACAGCACTGGCCCCAAAACTGTACCCTGAGCACTCCACTAAGCACAGTTTCCCAGCTAGATAACTTTGAGTTCACCCTTACTCTTTGTTGACGCCCAACTAAGAAGTCTTTTATCCACATCAATAAATTGCCTCTAATCCCGACATTTCTTAACTTATATAACAGCCGGTTGTGCGGAACTTTGTCAAAAGCATAACTGAAATCAATGAAGGCGACGTCTACAGGTAGCTTTTGGTCCTTAAGAGCGCACCAGCTTTCACGAGCCACTAATAAGTTAGTGAGGCAAGAAAAACCTATTCTGAAGCCGTGCTGCTTCTGCGAGAGGATCTGGTTGTTATCGAGATACTTAAACAGCTCCTTCCGAATAGTCTTTTCTAAGATTTTAACAACCACACTAGTTAGACTAACGGAGCAGTAATTCTCAAGTTTGTGTTTCGTACCTGTTTCGAAGACAGTACTTATTATGGCGTTCTTCCAGTCTTTTGATAAACGTCCCTGTGTTACGGATAGATTAAAGCATATAATTAAAGGTTTCGCAACGAAGTTGTATAATCGGGTGATCTTATCCGCAACGCAACCATGTAAACTTAATGTATCGGTCATCTGTGCGTTCAAGTAACCACAGATTTTGTCATTTCATAATGTATTTTTAATTAAATAACTAGATTATATAGCTAATTTTGATCTTTATTTTATATTTTTATTCGCCACGTCCGACTGCGTTACACTGCACTGCTGGGATGATATCTCAAGTTATAGTGAGTTTATTCACATAGTTGATCGTTTCCAGATAGACTGTCAGTGCATGATTTTACTGTAGAAAGGTTTATTGTACTATAAACTATGTTTTTATGAACAACTGCCTGTTGTCTTCAGTCGGAAAGCAATATATATATTCTTTGTCTTCCGTTCGGTAAGTTCAATTGGCCTACATTTCGTGTTTTTGTTTTATAGTCTTAATTATGTCCATTTAAATACTTTAAGCAATATGCCTGTGCAAATGAAACAATAACTATGACACTTGCTTAGTTTAGTATTCTTGGTTGTCGTATAATTCAGTTTAGTTGAAAGAATTATGGTATACTTAAGTATAGTGCTTGAAGTCTGCAACGAAACAGATCAGTCTAGTAAGTAGAGTTGCCTGTTTCTGATGAGTATACTAATTCAAATCAGTCTGATTAAAAATAGGAAAAAAAGTGCTTTTGGTACTGTTGCTGTCATACATTATAAGATAGCGACAAGTATGTTTGTTTATTTCTAGATTGTATATCTATCACTGACCATATTTCATGATCACTGTCATTAAACAATTTCCCCAGCAATAACATCGGTAGCAGGATAGCTAAGTGTGTGAGCTTTTATTTGCCTGCAGAAGAGCAGTATACAGTCTTAGAAGATGACTAGTCTGTATCTCAATTAAATGCAGTTGGCTGTAGACAAATGTTAAGAATCGTTTTGACTACTAGGACTTTTAGTTCATCAAACACTAACTCTGCTTGTATGTCTCCCTGTTAAACTAGATGCAGATACATGGTAATACTTAAATGAGAGCAAAATAATAAAAGCATTGAGATACGGTATTAAGTCCATGTTATATAACATGGACTTAATACCGTATCTCAATGCCTTGCACAAGTAATAGCTGACCTGACCTAATATTCATGAACTAAAGGTAAATCACAACTGCATAAATTCTTTGCTAAAAAACATGTAATTTGGTTATTTATCTATTCCACATTTCTGACCAAATTCACTACTGTTTTCTCATTTAGAATGCAACAGGACTGAGTCTTCACAGATCCTAAGAACTGTTTCGCCCTTAGAACTATGGCCCTATGGATCTGTTTACGGGAGACCCAACCAACAGCAGATTATAAAAAGGATGCTGGATGTTCATTTTAATCTCACAACCACTTCCAGTACTTTTTGAGTTACTTCTTTCACCCTTTCGTTTGGAAAAACAACAAAAACTGCAGCTTAACATTACAAATGCAACTTTTAGACTGGAACTTGGTTTAAACCTTTGTTTCATATTCGATTCTTAATGAAAGTTCTCGAATAAATTTTTGAACCTAATGCTACTTTGTTTTACATACTTAATCGTTGCAAGAAACTTGTGATAATCGAGCCTCTCATCACGTAATTCATGTTTTCAGGCTTCCGTGTCTAGTAGCAGGGGATCACCAAAAGCTCCAAGCAGGAACCTAGGTATGTTAACAATAAAAGATCCAGTCGCCTCCTAAAGGACTCCTGGGAAGTCGTTTGGACTAGTTCGGCGGGCAGCGAATTCCAGCATTCGACAACTCTTAAGGAGTAGAAGTTGCGTCTACAGTCCATTCTGCTATGTCGTGTCTCTAGTTTCTGGGACTAAGCTCAAGTAGGTGTTTAAGAGAATGTCCAGAAGTGTTAAGGATCCTGTAAGTAAATAGGTCACCTCTAAGACGTCTATACTTTAATGAGTAGAGGTTAAGTGATTAGAGGCGCTCTTCATAAGGTGATTTGGTGCATATATCAGTCATTTTCTTGGGAAACCTACAGGCTCGGGTCCTCTCACAACTTATTTTAGCCACCATGAGTTGCCACGAAAACTGATGGATGGACACGCGTTACACATCCTAACCGTCCCTGCGTCTAATCTCATAGCTTCTTATTCAAATGTCATATGATAAGCAAGTAATGCTTCTACCGACACTAATGGAACACGAGTAATTCAAAGGCATCCTGTATGGTACTTTAGATTGGTCTACGCACTCACTTAGCTTTTTATTGAGAATATTACTACAGTCCTGCTAAAAATCCCATGAACCCACCTACCACCATCAAAACAATAAGTCTGTATTTGCTGCATATAGAAATTTTATTTTTCAGAAGATATATAACAGTTAGAATTGGAGTAAAATAGCAATATACAGCAGATGCACGTGGTACATGTCTTCATCGATCAACTGAAATAGAGAATACGGATATTAGTTTAACATGCTTATCTAGAAAGACTAGTGTTTACTTTGAACTTACTGCGTGAGAATGTTATACTGGAACTGTGAATAATGTAGGAATCTAGTCTCCCAGGGCGTACGAAGCACTCAAATTGGAAGACAGTTGTCCTAAAATAATTCGAATATGAAGGTGAGAATTTGCAGGTACTTTTCATCGTAAGGGTGAACATATTAGATAACGGTTGACATCATACCGTAAAAAAACACAAATTTGCGAGTGGTGAATTATGGTCTATAAAAAGGTGAGCTTAATAACAGTTAGTTACCTTTTTACTTTCTGATCATGACCCTTCGACTTCCTTTTGTGGCCAAAACACCAAACATACACTACACACTGATAGCAGATTTCCGGCTTTTCAATGTTAAGCTTGCTTTAACGCACTACGTTATGCGTATAACCCCTCCATTACTGCTATGTGGCATATTTTTTCATAACAAACCCTCTGCAATAGATTGGTAGCATCTGTGACTTCGTCTATGGTTGTGGGAAGCCTGGGTACTTTCGAAAACAATACTGACATCCCCTACTTCTAGGCACTAAGTATTAGTTTGACTCGTTGTGGGATATTTTTGTCCGCAATACTGAAGTAAATTAAAAACCGGAAATTGTTTCCTTTCATTTTGCCGATAACATCATAAAGGACGGTTAGGAATGAACGTGCGGACAGTTAGTCACAGGATGCAGCAACAGTTATTTCAGCTAAGAAAAAACGAACTTCGGCTTTGGATATTTAGAAAACAAGTCGAAACCAAACCGATTTCCATTTTAAAACATAAGACTAACCAGCTTGACTGAAGAAATACATTGACTAGAGTAGAAGCAGCAAAAAACAATGCTGATTCGAAGTAAATTTCACACCAACATGTAGAACATTACACTAACTGCGGCATCTTAGCACATTGAAACATTAATTA